ATATTATTTCTTGTATGGACAGGCTACATATTGCGATTAAGTCTTATATCTGCGGACGAATCGTTGATAGTCGATTACATGCAATCAATTGTTAATAACTTTTTTGATCTAAATCTCAAAGGCAGCAAATTTATGACCTATGTTTTCTGTGGTAATTCATTTTAAATCATCATTCGTCTGTCCAAAAGAATCATCGTTTTTCTGTATCAGATAAAATTGATTAACTTGGAAATTATTTTCACAATTTTAGTTTTCAACTGTTTGGCATGTGTTGCATGGATGTTTGGAATGCATTGCACTAATGCGAAAGTAAGAGCACTCGATTATGTTCTTATTGGCAATAGATATTCACATTGAAGTGGCAGCTATCGAGGAATTTTTACATTTTTAAGAAAAAGTTTCAATTTTTAATGAATTTTTTTCAGTTCTAGAACAAAAACTGGTTAATGGTGGTAACATCGATTTGGATTTGTCTGAATGTGAGTTTTCTTATATGTTTTTCCTTGAAAATTATTCCCTTCTTCGCACTCGGATGGATAGTCTTCTATGACCATGATTTAGTGTTTACGGTTCTTCTATTCGGTAATTAGCATGAATTCATTGACCATTGTATGAATATTTCATAAATTTGATAACAATTCCAGGGTTATTCGTTAATCTCTTCGTGATTACATGTAAAATTTACAATTCATTTGATGAAGACAATCGTCAATCGCCCATTTTATATACACCTGGTGTAGAATATCCAGACCAGCCCCCATCATACGCCAACTGTGTGAATCAAAATGAAAAGCACCTGAACTTGTATGGTGAGAAAGTCACTAATGACAACAAAAAGCCTATGTTTTCCAATGACTCAGATCGATGGGGACATGATTTTGTTGCTGTTTCGATGCCTAATCTTTCATAAAAAAAGACGTACAGCTCACAACTCACATTAACACGATAATCAATAATATATTGATTGGTCTATAGACCTTCAATGGATTTATAAATATATTTTGCATTAAAATATTAAATTAGGTTTGTAAGTTTATCCAAGAATTGTTCTTCAGATTTTATTTATTTTCAATAAATTGTAAAATTGATTAGAAATACGATTGTCATAGCATTAGCAGTATATTAAGCTCAAGCTCAATGTTAAGCTCAAATTCACAATATGCCCAAGGGAAGGCACGCTAAAAAATTGTAACAAAACTTACACGCACAATACTAATACCGCCTATTGGTTAGTTCTATGGTTTTTCTGTCGTACCATTTCGAAATAGACCGCTTTATTAATGAATTACAATCTATGTCACGGTTGGTGATGAACACAATGAGAAAGAATTTTGTTTTCTATGTTTTCCCCTCCGACTCATGCTGGAAATTTGTAGAATATCATATGTTAAGTGTATATTCCACTTATATCAAAGCTACGAACGTCCTTCTGGTTGAGTATCTATTGGGTCGTGACTACAAATACGCATACAAAATTCCCTTCCAACAGATTGTTATAGCACAATATTTCCAGTTTAAGGAAAGGAATCGCCCAAAAAGGAACGTCCATTCAGGGTGAGTTATTCATTTTTGTCATTGGAGGCATACCTAAGTGGAGACCAAGCACCGGTTCGGACATAGAAATATGTTTACCTAGATGTTCTATACACTATACTGTATAAATATGCAAAGCATAGACGCATACGGACGACCGTGCGACGGACGTATCACCAGAGCCATCATTGTTTGCTGTATACTGTATTCATACACACACGTACGCGTAGGTCTCGCAATGCATGGTCGTCCGTACGCGTCTATGCTTTGCATATTTATCTTGCATATTTCTATATCCAAACCGATTCTTGGTGGAGACCTATTGAAACGATAGAGTTAGTTGAAAAAATATCTCTCTGTGAAAAATTATTCTAAAGTGAATAATATTTTTCTTCAGAAGTGATAATTTAATTTCATACAATTCTATAGTATTTCAATTCACTTTAATCCTGGAAATGTTTTCCATGTATAAATGGAGATAAAAATTTCCAGTGAATCAATAAGTGGAATGTGTAAAACCTTTCAACTGAAACTCGATTTGTGTGTTTTGTTTTCGCGCGAATTCTCATTTGTACAGTCTCTATCTATTCTTTACTCATTACCCATTACTCATTACCCATTATCATATTATTGAAAATAGTTTATTTATATTTCGCTTTGGCTGTTGCACGTTGCGTTTCAATGACGCGTCTCGAACAATTGCTTACGCTATCCTTCACGCATGCTTCGGCCTCAACTTCGACTACGTCAATGATAAAAATGTGTGCTTTGTAGTTGTTGTGCGAAGAGTGCAGAATAATAAAAAAACAATCGTACGAGACCGCGACGGTCGGTTAGAAAATGTCGCGTACAAAGCCGGATTATGTACTGTTTGAATGCGTCTCTGGCGAATCGATGTTCGTGCTTTAATGTCATTTAAAAATATCTAATTCTCGTGCGAATTTTCACCATGAAAAATTGAAAAAAGACTATGTTGATCCTCAGACTGACTTTGTCCATAGCCTTCATACGAGGATACGTTCGTCACATTTTCGGTAAAGATTTTAGGCTAAATTATAAACTAACTTGAATATTGAGACTGAAACTTTATGAAAGATACACAATGAATTGTGATAACGAAGTCAAAGCAACTGGAATACATTCGCGAATTAAATTTTGTTTTTAAAAATTTGTCGATGTTTGGAAGCAAATCCTATGAATTCGAGCATTAACCGGATTAACGATTCCATTAATTTTCCTGTTTGATAAAATTTGTTCCAAATCCATTAATGGAAAACAAAATTGTTCTCGTAATTGATAAAAAACTAAATTTTTCTCTGTCAAAAACTGTGTAAATTTGCTTATATTCATTCTTCTTTAGACGTTAAAATTAAACATATTTTCGAAAGACCAACCCACACGCAATGAATACGTAAAAATGGTGCGTTTTAGTTTAATGCAACAGGGACCACAAAGTTTTTTTCTTTTAAAAATCGTTAACTGAATACTGAATCACTCCCTCAAAGTCACAGTGCTGGAGAATTTACTATACAATGTATAGTGCACGCATGAACAGTACAAACCGTTAATTTGATGCAGTAAAATCGTACACAGAACACGTCATGCGATTTATTGTGCGTTACGTTTGCTTTGTGCGTTTTCGCCACAATTCTGAATATAAAATCGATTCTGACGAAACCAGAATGTCCAAATGCTAAAAATATTTGATTGTTTCATATAGCGTCATTCTTGAGACCGTCAGTATTCCACAAGCTGCCAAAACAGACACATCGATCTGATTAACAGTCGATATATTTGATCTCACCGTTCAAAACATTCATAAAATCACTATTAAGCCAGTGTTTTTAGACAAGCGTAAGAAACATTTTGCTTTCTTGTATTTTCGATTTCCATTGAAGAATTAAAAATATGACGAAAAAATGCTGTAGAACATTTTATCAAACAAAGTATGAAGTTGGAAAGTAGGACGCAACTCGCCAATGAAAGTTGTACAATGTACACTCTACGTATTAAAATCGTACCGTCAGTGTACTCAGTTGCGTTGTTCTTTGAAGAATCAACGAAATTTGGCTAAACAAAGTTCATTATTTTGGCATTTTAAGTTATTCAAGGTGTTTAGTTCGTTTTCAATTGTAATTTAATTTTTTTCCAAATTGAGTGTGAAAATGTTGAAATATTCAATCTATCATTATTAATTGAAATGAAACTTATTTTCAAAAATCAATTAGAATTATGTGCATTAGAAAGTAAACTATATTTTTCACATTGATTCATCGAAATAAAATCCTTAAAAAAGTGACAAACAATCTAAATTAGTTAGAGGCACAAGCAATTTGGTTTCAAAATAAATTAAATTTAGTGAGGAGTGGCATTTAGGCACAAATAGTGAACCACAATTAGAATTATCGATTTACTTGAGGCCGTTTCAATACGATTTGTTGCTATGTGAATGTTTGTTTATAAATTGCGTTGCGTACGCTCGTCGACCATCGTATGCGAAAACATGCGATTGGATAAAAAGCCGGTATTTCAACGGTGAAAACAAAACACTAACGCTTCTCACGTGCTGTAGTAATAACATATGTATACATATGGTGTGCCGCGTTGTCGTATAGCGTCGCGTCCAAATCTAATTATTCGCACATTTGATACCAACGCAAACACGCTACGGCTCTATCGATCCGCTCTATGTCGTGTTATTGTGCGAAGCATACGGAAAGAACAACAAACGTTTAAAACTTCTGACTCTCAGACTTGAATGAAACCCATACGTTACAATTTACGATTTACAATTTGTTGCGATAACAGCTTTACGCAATGCAAATAAGCAAATAATATTTCTACTATGGCTACTGTTTGTACTAGTTTAACGTAATTTATTTCATTTTTCAGAAACAGCTCATTTTTACTGTAGGTGTCAATGAAAACACAAATTATTTGTCTTTGATTTCAAGGCACGGTCTATTTGTACGAGAAAGAAAAATGAGATTTAGCCTCAGTGGCTATTCGTATGACGGATTTGAGAAGTTCGTACGAATAGCCTGTGAGGCTAAATCTAATTTTTGTACGTATGAATGTACCGTGCCTTGATTTCAATTGCTATTTAAAATGATGAAAAATTGTAAAAATCCTATTTTAGCTTTAGCGGTTATATTTAGTACAAATTTGTTATGTCGTAGTATTCTTTTGTAAGAATTATATTACTATAACTACATTAAATTTTCTCCTTAGTAATTTCAATTAAACGATTTCCTTCGATTTCAGGTTAAAAGCGTTATCACCTATTCAGCACCAGAAACCACCAAAAAATACATACACACTCCAATTCTCCTAGATCAAAAAATGGTGAAAGTTCAAAACGTTGGCAGCGTCGTTGGTTGGATCATATCGCTAGTATGGATTGTATTCCTAGTTGTGATTATAACAAATTATGCACATAAATCAGCATTCGTCCGACTCATTCATACAATTCTTTTGCCATTTCACGATGTCGACATCAAACTATGCAAATATATTGGCATTGCATTTTGCGGTGAGTTACTGTTTGTTATTCGTGTGAAGTTCAAAGGGGAAGGAATATCATTGTTGAGATTCATTTTAATTTGGTTTTTAATTCAATTTCTATCTTAAATTTTCAGCGGTAAACGTCTTTGCAACTCAAGCATGGAGACATGGAATTCAAAATGTGAGTCATTATACAAAATTTAAAGGATCAAATTAATAGTTTTCTTATCTTAAGCAAGTTTTCATTGAGAATCCACACATTTTCTGTTTTTAATCGTTTTTATCCCTTTTTATTACAATTTATTTTTAAATATATGTATGTTATATGGCATGAATTTGAATTACATTCCCAACATTCCCAACGCTTCTCCTTTCAAACAGAACAAAAAACACTTTACGCTGTGGTCAATGATATGGTTCAGTCTTATTTTGGGTTTCCTTTTGATTTGCATACTCACAATAGAGATTGGAAAGAATTTGCAAGAAGATCATCCTGAATTGATAGTGATTTTGATCGTTTCAATAGGTATGTTTTTACTTTTTTAACAATTTACACACATCTTTTTTACATTTTTCCAAACTCGTTTTAAACTTTGTTAAAAAAAATTCTGTCGTTTTTCAGTTTTTTTCGGTCATCTTTACATCATTGCTTATGCAAGTTTCAAATCAATCGAAGTGCATCGAACGCCAATCATTGAGCTACAGTCAGATTCATCATACTCGATACCATTTAGAAGCCTTCATGAAAGTAACTCCGTTCAAACGACTGTACTCAGTGACTATGGGTACAGAAGCGATGACGGAGACGTGGCAGCACCAATGTTTTGCGTTTCACCAGCATCATCAGCACCTCCAACAGACGATGGGTTCGAATTAAACCATCAAATCAAATCGGTCAAATCCGAAACTCCTACAGATGGTCACCGTTTCAATAGAGTGCATTCAGACGATGTACGACATTATGAACCATATCAACGGATTGAACTTTCGGATTGCAGAATTTCAATGGATTGCAATCAACCACAGAAGCCAAATCCGTACTCAGATCACAGTCATGATTCATCACACAATAAACAAGATCATACTCACACGTGACCTTGACATTATGCCTCTGGCTCAATTTCATATGAGTATTTATACTCAACAGTGTCGGTGTCGAGTTGATACCACATCATTCCCATGGCACGTCTAAGTCTAACCATGACACATACGTCTCTTCCCACCACGACACATAACATTCTTCAGATTACAACCTTGATACTTGTATCATATGGGCTATTCTGATTCTGTAGCCTGTGATGACTAAGAGAATTGAAAAACATTATCTGAAATTCCATGGCATTGTTTGATTTTTGACCTTTAACCTCCACTACCTCAATATTTTTCAGAATAAAAATTCTTTGATTCAATGAATAAATAAATTTTTCAAAACAAAAAGTTTTTAGTTGTGTTTTGAGTAATTCTCTGGATTGTCTGGCGCTTCATTTGAATTCACTCACGGTGCAATGAATAAGGTTAAGATAGTAAAAATATCAATACTCGGAATTTATTCACTCATTCAATTTTCATTGGAATATTCCAACAATTGGACCAATTTTCCGGTTTGAAATCTGATATTTTCACTAAATTCACTCATATAATTGTACTGAAATTATTCAATATGAATGTCTTCCACCATATATACATATATCCGAAAAATATCTTAAATGTTTTCTATGTGGTCTGGGCGTTCGTCTTGTTCCTCGACTAAATAGTTCGAAGTGTTAAAATTGGTTCTGTGCACCTAGAAAAGAGAATTATTAAACCCTGCGAATTCCATTGGTGAAACGTCAAACTACCAATAGATTGTTTCAAATGTATTGGTAAATTCAGTACAAACGGCACAACGCAAGTCGCAAGTCACTTACGTAGTATTAGTAAACGAAATTCCGCATTTGTACTGAAATTACCAATACATTTGAAACAGTCTATTGGTAGTTTGATGTTTCACCAATAGAATTCGCAGAGTCTACTGATTCTCTTTTCTATGTTTGCATTGCATTTGATCAGCTGATTTCATTGAATAGACTTTTAGTGTCGCAAAATAATGAACAGTCGTTGTAAAAGTTGAATCTAAATTTAGAGTAGCACAATTGAAAGAAAAACTCCTTAAACGGCATATATGAGGCAGTGTTTCATCCACAAGTGGCCTATAATGTTACCATGCCGAGCTAAAAATAAATTGATTAACTGTTAAATATTCATCGCTCCAACGTTGACTGAAAGTGGTTTTTGTTTTTATTTCAATAAAGACTGTTTGAGAGTATGAAAATGCGAAAGAGAGAACAAGCGAAAGGATTCGTGTATGTCTTAACGTAGTAATCACCGTGAACACTTGTAGCATGCTGTGAAATAAGACTAACTCTCGACGAACACCGCACTAATACTTTAACCTTTTCGATCCAGTTGTGAATGAAACACACACACCGATTCGTCAATGTATTGTGTTGCCGAAAAGTCATTGCATGAAATTTGATTCCGAACTAACTTGAATGCTATGGAGAAGAAAAGCATATTTTGTGCATGTTTTTATCGAAGTTGACAAGTGGCAATAGATATTGGCGGTAGAATTTCAATTTTCACCAAGTTTCCACTTTTTTTATTCAAGTTTAGTCTGTTACTCAATCATCAAGCATTTATGATTCAAATGGGGCCAGAATAAAAATAAATGGAACATTTTTCTATAGATCAAAAAATGTTGATGAAAAGATTTAAGTTTCAAACGATTTTTTCAAAACAAATTGGTCAAAAACAGAGAAATCGTACATGAGTTAAACCGACATTTGTGAATTGAGCTCTGAAATTGCTCAAAAGGGAGCTACTAATCGAGATAAACTGTCAGTTGCAGTCTGTCACTTGGCGTCGTTGAGAACTAAACGAAAATCATCAATACACGTTTGCGAGTGTTTGTATTCTAGGAATTGATGCCGTAGCTTACAGACTGTATGTTGTTCTGAATTTTGCATTTTTCAGACAAGCACCAAACAAGGTAGACATATTGAAAGATACGTGAAACCAAACATTTTCAGTAGAAAAAAATCGACGACAAACGTAAGAGTTAGATATTTCTTATTTATTTAGATGTCAATTTTCTGAGTAAAAATTGTGTGATTCGGTCGTAAATCTAGAAAATAATAAACTAGGGGTTTCACGCAACTTAAAATTCATCTAAAATTTCAATATTTCTCTCTTTTCTCTAAAATTCTCTGGGATTCACCAAAATCCGTATTATTTCGAAATATTTCAACATTCACCTTGAAAATTATGTTCTGGAAGTGGGTTTTGGTGGATCTTCAGGATGGATCGGACTGGGTTTGACAATGCCCTGGTCCATCCTGAGGATCCACTTCCAGAACCAGGAGCGGTTTTGAACAATCCTGAGAAACCACCAAAACCCACTTCCAGAATTTTTAGATTCAAAAAATTCGAGTTTTTGAATAAAAAGAAGCAATATCTATAGTTTACACATAAAATGGTTTTATTTCCAGCTATTTAGTAAAATCTTCGACCTTCGAGTTTGCGTGAAACCCCTTGATAATAAATGTCCATGAAAATTGGCAACACATAAGACATAACCCAACTTATGGACAAATACGCAGTGTACACATTTCGTATATACTTTTTTTAGACGGTTCAAACACATTGTTTTCACGTGATTGAATCAATTTACGTTAACATTAGGTTATTAATATGGATTATTGATTTTCTATATTATTTTCCTGAATCCAATAGGAAATGAACCCATTCAAATGTATTTTGAGTGGACACAGCTGGCGCAAATCAAAGTCCACGAAGGTTGGAGTCAAGCAAGAGTCTGGTATTAAGGAAGAGCCCAATAACGACGGTAGTGTCATTGACTTACCACGACCGAGAGTTGATGGAAGATATCGTGTGAATTACGAAGGACCGTTCGACTTTGATTATGACTTTGATGTGCTTAAAGATGAAATCAAATGTGAAGAAGAAGAAGTGGACGAAGAAAAGAGCTCGGCACCATGTGAAAGATCGAATGACAGCGCCGCTAATGATGATAACAACGAGGAGCTCATGGGTGATGTAATCGATGTGCAACAACCGCAACCAGTCGGCAGCGGGAATGAAAGGAATGCAAGCTCCAAAGGACGAAACAAACGAGCGATTCCCAGGAATCAAGTGGCCAAAAATCAAAAGAAGCACAAATGTCATGTGTGCAATCATATGGCAAGTAATAAGTTTAACCTCAAAGTACACTTGCGAATTCACACTGGAGAAAAGCCGTATCAGTGTGATGTTTGTTTGAAGTCCTTTGCAGGAAAATTTGATCTCAACCGTCATAAAAAAATGCATGGTCAATTTCGATGTTCAAAATGCAATCAAGGATTTGAACAAGAATCGTTCAAGATCGATCATGAACGATCGTGTAGTCCACGTCGATTGGAATGCGATATTTGCGGATATAGCGGTATACAAAAATCAAATTTAAGAACGCATATGCAGATCCACACCGGGGGAAAGCCGTTCAAATGCTCAATTTGTTGCAAGTCGTTTACAGCCAACGCTCATCTCCGGAATCATTCAATGGCGCACAAAGCTGAACTGCCGGACGCTTGTTCAAAATGTGGTCGAAGATTCGCCACTCTAGAAGATAAGCAAACGCATGAATTGCGTTGTCAACGTAAATTGATCGAATGTGGAATTTGCAGCAAACAATTCGTCCAACAGATTAAACTAAAGCAACATTTGTCATCAAAACACAGCGATCAGTTCCCATTCCAATGCTGCAAATGCTTCGGAGGATATGCAACCGAAGATGAAAAAGCTGCCCATGAAGATAGCTGTGGCTTCCGTCAGTACCAATGTTATTTGTGTAAAGAGTATCGTCGAGAAAAACAAGATTTGGAGATACACATGCGAAAAGATCACACCGGAGAGCGGATTCAGTGCAGAGTGTGTGCTGCAAGTTTTTGCAACAGAAGTAATGCCAATCAACACATGAAAACAGTACATCATTCGAAGAAATAATAATTAACCAATGACCCCATTAATTAAAAAGTAGTCAAGTTTTAGATTCCTTATTCCCTTTAATAGACACGTACATCAATTGATCTATTTGAAAGACTTCCAAAAACTTTTCTTACAACAATTCGAGATAATTCTAAAATACAATTCAACATCTTTTGACCATAAAATATTCATTACAACATATTATATTTAAGCCCTATTTACTATTTTTGAACTGTAAAAGAACAGATTGACAGAAATATATTGGAACTGGAATAAAAAGAAAAAGGAAGAACAATTTTGCTTTTGAGTGCTGAGTTTATTTTTGCAAATATTTTTTTTCAAGCGAAAGAATCAAATCCTTTGGAAATTATGTTTTCTTGGCAAATCCAACTCTGCAATGCAATCAAATCCGTATGTTTTGTTTAAAAAGTTTAATTTTCAAATTATGTCGTTCACAATTCTCATTGTTCATTTATTCCCCTTGAATTGATTTCTAATTTCTTGTCCATTTGCTCAATTCCTTTGCCGAAACTTCAAGAAATGTCAAACTACAGACTCCATATTTTCGATTACGAACAAAACCATACTCTTCCGATGCGACTCTTCTTCAATCTATGGATTGATTAATAATAACAACAGATTTGAATAGAATTAATGACTTAGATTGATTTTGTTCGATTTCAATTATTCATAGAAGCCACCAATAATGGGCCACAATGAATTCAATTCACATACATTTCCCTCACAAACGCATAATGAATTCAAACTCGTCGTCAGCCTCAATTCGATTTTATTTTGTAATACTATAGAATTCTTATTTCAGAAATATTAGCAAATGAAGTTGATGGCCGGATGTCATTTATAATTACATGTACCGTCAATGGCTTCGTTTTCATTTTAATTCTATGCATTTGTTGAACCAGAGTTTGTAACAGTATTCGTTGCGTTCGCGAGACATACATAATTCTGCGATGCTAATTTGTTCACATTGCAATATAAACACAACGAATAAGTTTGTTTTTGTTTGACAACCAAATATTCTGATTACGCGGAATGCACGCACGCAATAGCAAAGCGATCTTTGTTTTCATAGAGCACAACGTTTGGTTTCAAAACATTTCTTTGACCATTGGAATTCGAAAAAGAAAGTTTTGCATGAATTCAACTGAAATTTTCGAATCGAGCTCTGAATTTGCTCAACCACCATTTGACAGCTACCAATGGAGATGAAGTGTCACTTTGCGTCGTTGAGAACTTGACGAAACTCACCAACACAAATAGCACGCTTGCAAGTGTATGAGCCGTAGACATTGATGCTGTTACTTACAGACAATGCATTACTCTGAGTTTGTCATTGTTCAGACAACCACCAAGCTAGGCAGACACATTGGAAGATACAAGAAAAAACTATTTTTAGCGACAACAAACGTAAGCGCTAGATATTTTTTCATTTATTCGGATGTCATTTTTTGAGTATAAACACACATAACCTAACTTACGAGGGTTTGTGCTGAGTGCACATTTCATGCGTACTTTTTATTTGCAAAGACACGTGGTTTGCATTTGATGGAATCACTTTTCGTAATTATCAAGTATTTGATACCCAAACTGTATTTTTGATTTTTGATATTATTTTGTCGAATCCAACAGAAAACGAACCCATTGAAAGGTGTTTCTGGTAGCCAGCGCAAGCAGGAGGCAAAGTACGCAATGGTTGAAGTCAAGGAAGAGGTTATAAAGGAAGAGACAAGCGATGAAGGTGTCATCAACATACCACGGCTGAGAGTTGATGGAAGATATCTAGCGAACTACGAAGGACCGATCGACTTTGATTATGACTTTTATGAGATCAAAGATGAAATCAAATGTGAAGACAAAGTGACGGGCAAAGACAAAGAATCGACACCATGTGAACAATCGAATGACAGCGCCGCCAACGATTTTGACAACGAAGAGCTAATAGGTGACGCAATCGATTTTCAAACACTGCATCCAGTCGGCAACGTGAAAAAATGGAATGGAAGCTCCAACCGACGAAACAAACGAACGATTCCCAAGAATCCAGTGGTCAAAAAGCAAAACAAGCACAAATGTCATGTGTGCAATCATTTGGCAAGTTACAAGTCTCAACTCATAATACACTTGCGGACTCATACTGGGGAGAAGCCGTTCCAGTGTGATGTTTGTTTGAAGTCCTTTGCACGAAAAGATCATCTGAAAGGTCATAAGAAAACGCATGGCCAATTTCGTTGTTCAAAATGTAATCAAGGATTTGAACAAGAATCAGCCAAGATCGATCATGAAAGATTGTGTAATCCCATCAGATTTGAATGTGATATTTGCGGATATCAGACTGTGGTGAAATCCAGTTTGACAGTACATATGCGGGTCCACACCAGGGAAAAGCCGTTCGAGTGCTCAATTTGTTTCAAGTCGTTTGCAAGAAACACTGTTCTCCGAAGTCATTCAATGACTCACATCGATGAACTGCCGAATGTTTGTTCGAAATGTGGCCAAAGATTCGCCACTCCAAAAGATAAGCAAACGCATGAATTGCGTTGTCAACGTAAATCGATCAGATGCGCAATTTGCAGCAAACAATTCGTCCAACGAATGAAACTAAATCAGCATTTGTCATCAAAACACAGCGATCAGTTCCCATTCCAATGCTCCAGGTGCTTCGGAGGTTATACAACCGAAGATACAAAAGACGTTCATGAAGATAGATGTGTCTGGCGTCAGTATCAATGTCATCTGTGTGAAGAGCATTCTCGTTCCAAACAAACATTGAAGACACACATGCGAAGAGATCACACCGGAGAGCGGATTCAATGCAAAGTGTGTGCAACAAGCTTTACCAAGAAAAGTTCATGCCGATCGACACATGAAAACAGTTCATCGTTTGAAGAAGTGATAAATAAATTATGCATATTTGCATAAATCCATAGATTCACTAAAAAGTAGTTAAGATTGAAATCGATTTTTCATTCGATGCCTTTTAAACGGACATATTAACTGAACCTACACTTTCAAACAATTGAAATACATTCCATTAATTTTAATTCATTTTCTGAAATCGTTATTAAATAGTATCTACCATTTTAAAAACAAACAAATAATGAATACCACCTTAGATTTAAGCTCCAATTTTTAATGAAACAATACCAGAATAAATTGAAGTAAAGGAGAGGAGAGAGTTGACTTTCATTTCGGAGATTATTTTTACAGCATTTTTTGGTTGACGAATGAAATAAATGGCGTTTGGCAAATGTGTTGATACAAAATCAACTCTGCACTTCGATTGAGTTTGTCAGTTTTTATGATAATGTTTCGGTTTCAAAGCGGTATTGAAATATTTGGTTTGCCTTTATTCATGATTAATTGTCCATTTCTGTGGTCTTCAGAAGATATCACACTAATCCTGATATTTTCGATTACAAAGGAATGAATGAATGACTTCGAGTGGTTCAATGCAATTGCATTTAAATTATTTGAGTCGCTCATTTGTGCTGGAAGCACAAATGCACGATAAATTCAATCTCATTAGCCTTAATTGAACCGCTGAAAATAAATCACAGACTCAATCGAAGTGTTTGTGATAGTGGTATTCAAATCCGTCATACGCATAAAAGGCACATTGAAATGCTAGTACGACTCTTTATACTTTCGATAAAATTATTCAACTTCCAATTTTGCAAACTTCGCGATAAAGCCTGAGATTCATTCTCAGCGGTTCGATTCGACTTCTCTTTGTTAAACTGACAGATATGTTAGCGAACCCAGTTGTTATTTGGCTCATAATTTACACTCACATGCACCGTGACTCACACATACGTCTAACTCTTGCGCACATATGCAGTGTAAATCAATATGGTTCAATTCCATTCGATTTTTACAAAAAGAGTGTTGAACGAAATGAAATGGTTTCAATTACATTTGATGCATTTGTTGTGACCGAAATTCAAATAATATTTGTTGCGTTCGTGAGACATGCAGCATTTTTCATGTTGATTTGATTTCTTTCGTATAAACACAATGAATGAGTTTGTTGTTGTTTGTCCACCGCTTTGTTTCTATTGCAGTAAAACCTCCCGATAAGAGACACTACCAAAAAGTGGCACATATAAAGCTTCTTTTTCATAAAATTTCCCTCCAAAATGCAAAACAAGTCGGAACCATGCGTCTCCACTCTTGCGATGCTCAAGTGTACATCTCTATAACAACTTTCGATATGTACGATTCCGATGCCGTATGATGAAATCTCTGACTTTTTAAAAATGGTATTTGAATTCTATTTCGTTATCAATGACTCAACAAATATGTGTTGATTTGACTTCAGTGAGAATGATAACAAATATTGGCTGTGAATTTTGGAATGTCCCTCTACTTCCATGTCTATTGCTCATTGAACATCGCTCAGTCATCATGTGTTTTTTATTCGATTGACAGAATGATCATGATTCCAAACGCAATGCGTTCGACGATATTTGGATTTGTAGAATGAACATTTCGCATGGATTTAACCGACATTTTTGACTTGAGCTCAACGAATTTGCTCAAAAGAGAGCTACTGATTGACATGAAGTGTATACATTCGGCGACGTTGTCAACTGAACGAAATGTCACCAACACTAATACCAAGCGATTGCATCGCAGTATCAATGCTATTGAATATGCTGAGCTTGCCATTGTCCAATGAGTCACACAGTGAAGCAGACATCTTGAAAAATAATACACAAAAGACCAACAAACATTTTCAGCAGAAAAAAAGCAAAACGTAAGTGTTGAGCATTTTTTGTTATTTATTTCAATGTTCGGCTTGAAACTTTTGTTGTGAAAATTATGATTCGATTGGATATTCATGGAAATTGAAGACAATTAATTTGAAATACAAGTCTATGTAGGCATTTTCATGGTGTGCATTTTTTCTTGGCCACACACGCGACAAACACTTTGTTTGCGTTGTGTCGATTGATTAGCTATTTTTTTATTTTTGATATTTCCCTTGAATTCCCAACAGAAAATGAAGCCATTCAAAAGTGTTTCTGGTAGACAACGCAAGCGCAAGACGAAATCCACAAAGGTCGAAGCTAAGCAAGAGCCTGTTATTAAGGAAGAGCCCAACGAAGGTGACGATGTCATGAACATACCACAGCCGAGAGTTGAGGGAAGATATCGTGTGAATTACAAAGGACCGGTCGATTTTGGGTATGACTTCGATGAGATCAAAGATGAAATGAAATATGAAGAAGAAGAGACGTACAAACAAAAGGACTCGGCACCATGTGAACGAGCGAATGATAGCGCCGCCAACAATGATGACAAAGAACAGCATATGGGTGATGCAATCGATGTGCAACCACCGCATCCAGTCAGCAGCGTAAAGAAATGGAATGCAAGCTCCAAAGAACGAAACAAACGAGCGATTCCCAGGAATCAAGTGGCCAAAAAGCAAAAGAAGCACAAATGCCATGTGTGCAATCATTTGGCAAGTTGCAAGTCTAAACTCATGCGACACTTGCGAACTCACACTGGAGAGAAGCCGTTTCAGTGTGATGTTTGTTTGAAGTCTTTTGCACGAAAAAATGATCTGAACAGTCATAAGAAAATGCATGGTCAATTTCGATGTTCAAAATGCAATCAAGGATTTGAACAAGAATCATTCAAGATCGATCATGAAAGGCTATGCAATCCCTGCCAATTTGAATGCGATATTTGCGGATATACAACACGGCAAAAATCAAGTTTGACAGTTCATATGAGGATCCACACCGGGGAAAAGCCATTCGAGTGCTCATTTTGTTTCAAGTCGTTTACAACCAACGCTCATCTCCGGAATCATTCAATGTCTCACATCGATGAACTGCCGAACGCTTGTTCGAAATGTGGTCGAAGATTCGCCACTCCAAAAGATAAGCAAACGCATGAATTGCGCTGCCAACTAAAATCGATCAGATGTCAAATTTGCAAGAGATTCGTCCAACAGATGAAACTGAAGCAACATTTGTCATCAACACACAGCGATCAGTTCCCATTCCAATGCTCCAGGTGCTTCGGAGGATATGCAACCGAAACTGAAAAAATCGTCCATGAAGATAACTGTGGTCACCGTCAGCACCAATGCTATTTGTGTAAAGAGCATCGCCGAGACAAGCAACATTTGGAAATACACATGCGGAAAGATCACACGGGAGAGCGGATTAAATGTAAAGTGTGTGCAGCAAGCTTTGCCAAGAAAGGTCATGCCGATCGACACATGAAAACAGTACATCGTTCTAAGAAATGATTAACCGATGACCCCATTAATTGAAGTTTTAAATTCCTGATTCCCTTTAATAGAGACGTACATCAATTGATCCATTTGAAAGACTTCCAAAAACTTTTCTCACAACAATTCAAAATTATTCTAAAATAACATTCAATATTTTTTTGATCATAAAATATTCATTTAACACTATATTAGATTTAAGATCCCAATTTTTACTGTAAAAGAACAGATTGAAAGAAATATATTGGAACCGGAATAAAAACAAAAAGAAGGAAATTAATGTTGCTCCCGATTTTTGAGTTTAATTTCGAAGAGATTTTCTTGGAAAGCAAATAAAAACCAAATGATTTTGGTAAATTCACATTTATGTGTTATCATGGCAAAATAAACTCTGCATTGCAATCGATTTCGTAAGTTTTGATTCCAAAGTTTAAGCTTCAAATTATGTCGTTCATAATTTTCATTGTTCATTCATTCGATTTGGATTGATTTCTAATTTCTTGTCCATTTGTTCAATTCCTTGCCGAAACTTCAAGAAATGTCACACTACAAACTCTGTATTTTCGTTCACGAACAAAACCATGCTCTTCCGATGCGACTCTTCTTCAATCTATGGATTCGTTAATAACAACAATAGATTTGAACAGAATTAATGAATTCAGTTCACATAGATTTGCCTTACCAAAGGATTATGAATTCAATCTCGTCGTCAGCCTGAATTCGATTTTATTTGGCAATACGATAGCTTCCTTGTTTCAGAAATATTAGTACGAGGGTCACTATTTATATTTCGGGTCCTGGCAATACTAGTGTTGTTTCTATTGGAAAATTTGACATTTTTAAGCTAAAAAGACCATAGTAGAAATATTTTTACATTTCTGGGTGTGCTTCAAACTATAGTCCCAAATTATATCCAGAAAAACAGGAATTTTCAACAATAAACTTCATTTATCGATGTGAGAAACAATAACCGTCCAGGTGTAAATCACCTAAAGAACTTCAATTATCCTTAATTCAATACTTTTTGGCTAATGAAGCCATTATTGTATATTTCAGACCTGTTAATATACGTTTGAATGAAGGCATGTCAAATGTTAAAATTTCATGAAGTGAAGGACTGTTCCCAGTTTTTGGCCAGTTTTCTGCATATTTTCACTTCGAAAATGTCCGTTTTATTCAGAATTCATGGCACAACAACTCCAAAGTATAATAACAGTCATATAAATAATTTTTTCTCAGAACGAAGCAATGCAATCTACGAAAATCTTCTGTTTTTTGAGAAGTAAAGAACTTTTTCTGTAATTTTCAAACACAATATGATGACTGAAATTTTCTGGGATGGCGTGCCATACTCATAAATGATAATTTTGTAATCTCTAGTTACGATTGAGGGTTTTTCAGCCAATCAAAATGATAATTATTGAGAGTTTGTAGGACCATTTTTGTTCAAAACACTTTTTTGGATGAAAACAAATCTGAGGTTTTGACATGTGAAAGCCATTTACGTCACTAGATCCACATCTCATATTGAATGTATGTTAGTGGAACTAATGCCAAAGGATGCCTCAATCTCACGGTATGTCATATAACAATCTTCTCTTTTCAGATATCGTGAAGTATCAATGTTTTCTGGCGTAACAGCTGAAATTTAACGACCTTCACGCGGCTCGTCGGTGAGCGAACTGCGGCCACGATTGAACTCAGTATATTATCGATACACGGTGCTTTTTGATTGTGCTTCATTGCCAGAAGTCGAAATAAGCACATCGATGCACTGTTGTTGAGATAATCCAAGTCGAAATTTGTAGAAAAAAATCGCACAAAAATTTTCACGGGTTAATTCCATTTTTTGACCGAGATGAATTTTTCAAGTCACTGTAAACAAAACAATTCGCGCTCGAATGACAAAACGTTCTGAGTGAAGTTGTCCTTAAAAATGTCAAACTTTCCAATGGAAGTGTCAGATTGCACCTGGCAGCACTAGTATTGCCAGGACCCGAAATATAAATAGTGACCTACGTACACGAAGCGGATAGCCGGGTGTGATTTATAATTACATGTACTGTGAATTTGTTCGTTTTCATTTTAATTCTATGCATTTCTTTCCGTTTACTCCGGACAAGTGACAAAAAATATGTTAGCGGTAGAATCAAAATTCCACTACTTCCATGTCTTTTACTCAATCACCACAGATTGTTGATTCGAATAGCAAAGCGATCTTCGTTTTCATAGAGCACAACGTTTATTGGTTTCAAAACATTTCTTTGACCAAATTGGAATTTGAAATAGGAAGTTTTGCATGAATTCAACCGACATTTTTGAATTGAGTTCTGAATTTGCTCAACCACCATTTGACAGGTACCAATGGAGGGTGAAGTGTCACTTTGTGTCGTTGAGAACTTGACGAAACTCACCAACACAAATAGCGCGCTTTGCAAGTGTGTGAATTTCAGCTTTGATTATAGAAGTAACATGAAATGAACTTTTCTTCAAAAGTTTCATACAAAAATCGTGTCAAATTTTGCAAGACACATTTTTTTTCAACATTTTTTCGTCTGACAAAAATTGACATGTTTTTTACACGAAACTTTTTTCGCCACTTCTTTGCACCAAACAAAGGGTGAACATAATGCATACCGGGCAACACAGCCAACTTCACGTTGGTTGTCACTTGGTTACTACTGCAACGCATTGACGTATGCTCGTGTTCGAAAAAAAAACCAATTAAAATGAACTAAAACCAAATGAAAATTTATTCCAAATAATTTGAGAGATATATTTTTTAATAAAGTATAATTTCTACTTATATTCAACCAAGTTTTAGAGAAATCATAGTCTTTGTTTTGCTGCAACAAGACTTTGTTGTTTAGTCAGAACGAAAGTAGAAATTAATTGTGAACAATCCATTTCAAAGTCTTATTGCAGCGAAACCAACTCTATGATTTTTTTTAAATTTTGCCAAATATAAGTAGAAAAAACCTTTTAGGAAATATGTTTTCTAATTTTTTTTTGAATCTACTTTTCATTTGGTTTTAGTTAACTTTAATCTGGTTATTTTTCAATCAGAAGCATACGTCAATCGCAACGCAAAGTGGCACAAGCTTGTACCATTTTTCGCATACACACGCGTATGAAAGCAACGATTGTATGCAGAAAATGGGACTGACTGTAGTTGGCCGGGCAACCGCTTTGGCGTGGCGCTGTGAACAATGTTGCCCCATTCATTCACACTTTGGCACCAAAAGTAATAAGATACTTATTACGCATCTTATTACAAAGGGGTGAGAGGATAACGTATGACAGAAATGGGGAAACGTATGACAAGAATGGGAAAACGTATGACAGAAAATGGGAAAACGTATGACAAAAATGGGTGGAAACGTATGACAAAAAATGGGAAATCGTATGACAATCGATAAAAGAATTAAAAACCGGTATTTTTAGTGGTCTCAACAGAAAATTTTCTCTTTATCTCTTTCTCTAAATATCAAAAATTGAGTATTTTTCATAGACTTTGTATTGAAAAAAGTGGAGAATGTTTTCAATTGGTGAGCAACAATTTTTACCGTGTGGCGGCTGTTGAACGTCAAAGTCATTTGAGGCGACGCGAGCGCCCCCAATTTCAAAGGGCACATCAATGTAATTTAACATTTCAAATCGGAACTAAACAGCGCGCCAATTCGAAATATAGGAAAATATAGTGTCAACAGCCGCACCATGATTTTTACGAAGACATCAAATCGACTTTTTTTGTCATTAAAATGAAAATCTCAAAAAATTACGAGTGAAACATACTCTAATTTATCAAAATTTAAGTCGGCCAAAATACATATGCGGCTCAATCTCATAGATATTAAGAGTGGCCCCCCCCACCCAGACGGCCATAGTCTGAAAATCGCAGAACGGCTCCGTATATAATTTGTGCGTGGCCCCAAAAAATATGTGCATGCATTGGTTTGGTCGAAAAGTGCCGAAAACTCTATCATATTCGGGTTCACTTTTTGTAGTGAATTTGCTCTAAATCCAATTTTCACCACTCGAGAAGCAAGCATATTTTGTGCATAATTTGTGCGTGCCATTTCAGGCGGTCCCTGAATTTGTCCATCGCCCCAGAGCCCCCTATCGACCGAAATTGACCTTCGGTCGAGTACTTCAGCTCGACTTGACTCAATGTTAACAAAATCGATATTAGAAGTCAAATGAATCGATTTTGTTGACATTGAGTCATAGTCATATATCAGTACTTAAGAGTACTTAAGGAAATATCGGTTGTGGCCGATACAGGGCGCTGGAGCTATGCACAAATCCAGGGACCGACTGAAATAGCACGCACAAATTATGCACAAATTATTGAAATCATCAGAGAGCATGTAAAGACAATATTTGTGATAGTTCATTTATATTCACCACACCCTAAAATTGCCAAAATATGTACTTTGACGATTTGGCCATTTTTTGATGACATATCGTAAATCCGAAGCCATATTTATTATGCACAAATTACGCACAAAATAATTGCTTTTTCAGAAACGCAAAATAATGCTTCCTTCTCGAGTGGTGAAAATTGGATTTAGAGCAAATTCACCACAAAAAGTAAACCCGAATATGATAGAGTTTTCGGCACTTTTCGACCAAACCAATACATGCACATATTTTTTGGGGCCACGCAAAAATTATATACGGAGCCGTTCTGCGATTTTCAGACTATGGCCGGCTGGGTGGGGGGGGGCCATTAAGAGTTGATATCAAACGTTTTTTTTACGTATAAAACATGCTTTTTATCGCTCTTATCCCTACTGACTCTTTTCTTTTTTATTGTCGGTTGCTTGTTCGGAGCGAGAGCGGATAGAATTAAAGGCTGTTATCTATTATTCATCGATTAAAAAAAGCAAATGTAGTTAAAAAGAATTTGTATCAACTGCCTTCAACATTAGATTTGAAATATATATATATTATTCGTAATTAATTTAATAATTAAATAAATAAGTTTTGAGATGAAAGAAAGCTGCTCCACCAGTATTATTTTGTCTGGGATATACCCTGCCTGGGTTTCCGCAACTGAAGAAGGATTCTCCATCTCTTTCTAACACGCCATTTGGGGAGTCAGAATGAAAAAAGGCAATGAAATGGTACACATCATAGGACCTTCAATCCTATGATGTGTACCATTTTATTGTCTTCTTTCATTCTGACTATCTTCTGTGTCCCTCTTGTGTTCATTTTAAGTTTTAGACACCAATTGATGGGGTGTGCGTTCAACTGCAGTCGCTGAATTACATACACACGAAAATGATATGGCTCCTTTGAGTTTGTATATATATGATACTTGATACGAAAACAAATAAACAATCTAATGAATGAATTCGCACACAGTAAGATGACCTATCACAATTCTACTTGCAAATGTTCGACGTATTTCGCGACGTTACAGCAACTTTTCACAGTTCCCATTTATCATGTACATTAATGGCACCAAGACACTAACTGGTGCTAGCAAGTGTACTACAAGCACTGTATATAAATATGTACTTTTTCACTTCAACATTGCAAAAGAGAGTAACGTTCACAAAGAATTTCTCATTTCAAGGAGTTTCGAACATTTTAATTTGTCTTTTATGTCAATCAGATCTTTTTTTTTTGTTAGAAATACATTTTTTAACGTTGTCATACTTATTCCAATTTTTTGTCATACGATTTCCTATTTCTGTCATACGTTTCCACCCATTTTTGTCATACGTTTTCCAATTTTTGTCATACGTTTTCCCATTTTCTGTCAAACGTTTTCCCATTATCTGTCATACGTTTTCCAATTTCTTGTCATACGTTTACCCATTCTTGTCATACGTTTCCCCATTTCTGTCATATGATATCAATTTATCCATTACAAAGTAATGAGATGAGTAATAAGTAATAAGTCTATCTTATTACAGTAATAAGTAGGTAATGAAGTAATCAGAATTACATTTTTTTACTTCTATAGCTTTGATACTGTGGCTAAGGTTGTACAATGTACATTGTTCTAGAATGTTCCATTAGCCACTGAACAAGGCAAACATTTTGAGAAATCCGTGAAAAAAACATTTTCAATAGAAAAAAGGTCGAAGACAAACGTGAGTGTTGAATATGTTTCATTTTGTATTCATTTGGATGTAAATTTTGTACGATTTTTCTGATTCGGTCGTAAAAGTAAAAAATCAGGAGAATCAATAGATGTTCATGGAAATTGGTAACACATAACTCAACTTATGAGCGTGTGCGATGATTGCACATTTCGCGCATACTTTTTCTGTGCAAAGACACGTGGTTTACATTCAACTGATTCTCAACTGTGCAATTATATGGCAAGTAACAAGTCTAACCTCAAAGCAGGGCTTAAAATAAGAGTGAATCAAGTCCAAAATGGTGAATCAAAATTTAAAAATGTGAATCAAAATATGCCAAACGGGTGAGATTAAAAAAAATACGTATGACTTTGAACTAAAGATTTGTTAAAATTTAGCAGTTTTTCAAAGTCGATAAATATATCAATCACCATCTCTCTTCCTTTCCCTCCGACCCTTCCTCTTTTACTCTATCTCTCAATTCCTCTTATCACTTCAACGAATTCCAGATTTTGTTTTTTATTTCTTCTTATCACTTCAACGAATTCCAGATTTTATTTTTTATTTTTTTGGAGCCAAGATAAATCCCCAGACTTTTTCGTCAAAAAAACCGTCAAAAATTGGAATTTGGAATTTCCCGATATTCCAGTGCATTCCAATCGAAATTGCGCCGCAACAATTCAGTATGCAATGGAAAGTGTCAAACCCGGTTCTGCATTCAATCAGCTGATTTCATTGACTGACATTTAATGTTGCAAAATATTGAACAAGATCGATTAGAGAGTCGAAAGATATGAAAGCTATCTTATCTATTTGATAAATCGGTTTATTTGTATTTATATTCGGTGACAGTCAAAGTTATCGCTATTTTATATTGAACTGAGTTCAAAGAATTTAAAATGGAATAGAAATCCATAGAATTTTCATAAAATTAAACTTTATTGTGGGTGACACACCTATTAAAGGTGAATTGTATCAAATTCAAACGACGTAAACTTGAACATAACATTCGTTCCAAAAAGCAATGGCAGACGAATTTTTCAGGAGTCCACAAGGCTGGTGGTTCCTTTCGAATTTGAGTGATGACGATTATTTGAACCAAAACAATCCAACGGTTGCCGGTGTTTTTCAAAATCCACCAACGAATGATACCCTGACAACAACAGAAGACACTATTTATGAGTCATTAGAAGCTGCCGAAGCCACAAGTAAATTAACATGTACCGTACATATATTAGGTAAAGGACCATTTCTGAGCAGCATTTGTGGTGTGAAAAAGGCAAACAAGAGAGGGCTTAATAAACACAAGAAAAAAGTCCACACTGAGAATTTGGTTGATAACATGGGCCAAAGTGTATCATTCAATGCTAGCGGCGAAAATGACCCTCATACAAGTGCTGTTGATCAACAATCTGGTGTCAAAAGTACAAAATTGTACAATTGTAGACTATGTGGCTGCCGCATAGAAGAAAACAAATTGAAAAAGCACCACAGAAAGTGTCATGATGGGGTCCCATTTGAAGAAGACATTTTTACATTTAACAAAATCAAATTTGAAAAAAAGTGTGAATTTTGTAGACGTACACTGACACTTACTCGATTCGATAATCACATGAAAAAAGTGCATCCAGAGAAACTCGTCCGAAAAATTCAATCCGGGATTCAAGCAGAGAATCAACCACAAGCTCAACCAAACTTTAAATCAATTGAAACAAACATCGATGAACCAATTGGCCAAGTCGTGTCATCAAACGCCATTGAACAAGTTAAAAATCTTGAAATAACCAAAAAATCGGAAATGAAATCAAATTTTTATGAAAAACCTATCGCTGCTATAATACAATTGCCTGTATACAAATGCAAAATATGCAATCAGGATCAACTGTTGGAAGAAAATTTCAGCGATCATCAGCATAGAACCGAAGAACTTGTCAATATTTCGAGCATGCATACGGATTTTACGTTCCAAAGTGAAGAGAAACAATTAGTGTGTACCATCTGTGGTTTTAAATTGAAGGAAAATCAAATGAAAAAACTCAACAGACACATAAAAAAGGCTCACCCTGAAATTCCATTTGACAATATCATGGCCATCGAACTCAAAAGTGAACAGTCAAAAGCATATTCGAACAGTCAAAAGCTAGTAAAAGTCTTTTTTCCACGCAAAAATATTGCAAGGGATAAAATCAAAGGCTTTGAAGAATTCGGTAAAGACTTGGACAAATTCGGCACTAATACGATACATGTATATGAATGTACTGTATGTGAACAAAGTTACCTTATGGAACCATTTCTACAGAAGCACCACTACAACAATCATCGCGAAATTTCGTACAATAGAAATATTTTCGAATTCATCAATGTCAGGAAATGTATCCAATGTTTTATGTGTAGAAAATTATTGAGTGAAAATCAAATCGAAGCACACCTGGGAAATTGTCATCTTCATGAGCCTGTGTATTTTGCTGATAACAAAACAGAACGAGAGCCTTCTGAAGTCAACCAAATAGTAAATACTAATCCACAGGAAAAGCGAGAGCCGAGTACCCACATCGATGCCATCGAAATCTCAAAAGTATTCAAATGTAGCTTATGTTCTGCAAATGGCATCTTGAAGCGTAATCTATCGCTGCATCATACGTTGAATCACAAGGATACTACGTTTGAGTTAAAATCTTTCCTGTTCAGTGGAGTGACTATCGAAGTGAAATGCCAATATTGTGGCAAGCAATTGAGAAAAAATATTCTTGCAAAACACATTAGTTTATTTCATCCTGAAGTCGCCATTGGACCAGTGCAGTTATACAAGTGTATCATTTGCGATACAAATGACATAAAGATCTATGACTTGAATGAACACCATTTGATACAGCACAACGAAATTCCGGTGACTGAGAATATTTTCCAAGTTAAGGTTGAACCAGTGCGGGAAATCGAGTTGAGCTCAGAAGAGAACGTCGAATCCGTTTTGGAAGAAATGTCAGCAGACTTTGTCGTTCCTACCAAAAAGTGGTATAAATGTGGATTTTGCAAGTCCAGACGCATTCCTGAGGACAAATTGAAGGACCATCATTCAGAGAAACATGGTGAAATTCCGTTTGAAACAAATAAATTTCTGGTCACAATGGTCGAATCAAAAGAAGAATCAAATTCCAAACAAAAAATTAGCACTGTTGCCCCGAACCCAAATCGATGCGATAAAAGTCCGGCAATGAGAGTGGATACTGGTGCCTTGAATCAATATCAATGCAAAATTTGCGGTGCCAACGGCTTAGAAAAGATCCATTTAGAAGAGCATCATTCGACGGAGCACAGCAATATTTCAATGAGTAAAAACATTTTCAAACTCATCCCCGCAAGACAGGTGGAATGTGATTTCTGTGCAGCACAATTGAAGAAAAACGGCTTAAACGGCACATGAAGAACGTTCATCCAAATGTGGTCTATAATTTCACCATGCCGTCGATTGTTTCAACCAAAATTGCTCGTCCAATGGATGAGAGTAACAAGTCTGGTCCAATCATTCTAAAACTCTACAAATGTAAGCTGTGTGGTGTCAATGGTATCAAAGAAGGCAGTTTGACAGAACATCATTCAACCAAACACAACAATATTCCAGGCGACAGAAAAATATTTGAGCTCACCGAAGGCAAATGATTCAATGTGATGATTGTGGGCAGAAAATGCACAATAATGAACTTCAAACACATCAATTGAAGGCTTGTTTCCGACGAATTAGTCATGCGAGAATGATTTCATCATAATCAATCTACTGATAACTTGTCAGTGACAAGCGGTAACACAGATGTTTGAATTATTAAACAATCCCGACCTAATCAATTGTATTTTCATTGCATACTTAGTGGAATAAACCAGACTACTACACAAGAAAATCTAGTGATTTTATTGCTTCTTCTGTTGTTTTTTTAGTTGAATAGCAATACTCCTGGATGTGAACGTAAAAAGTCATACAAATCGATTTAGTTCAAACAGGTAAGTGGATATTGCATCTAAACTCAATGGACAATTTTATTGCGACATTTATTCTTGATAGCCTCAGAATGGTCATCGATTACATTAGAATGAAATGTATTAAAAACTGTATCTAATTTTTTCTGCAATCAGTTTCGATTGCTATGCATATTTAAAATTCCCGGCTACACTTAAATGCATCCTCCTTAATATTGGCAACAACACTTTAGTTGACATTACCAACTTGACAATCAAATTACTACACTGTCTTACTCGGTTGCATGTCAAATAATTGAAAACATGCATTGGGAATTCATGTGAGCGATATGTCAAAGTGCCGGTACATCATTGCTATAGAATATTCAACAAGTCAGCCAAGTAAGTGTAATAAAAATGATTTTCTTCTGTTTTTGAACTGTCCATTATGTGCAAAAAACATTGGATTCATTATATTAATTGAATTTTGAAAGGAAACCAAGGATAGAAAATGTCAAACCACCGTAATGATACGCCGAACTTGATTCCCTGTGAAAATTGCGGTCAAAACATTGGCAAGAAAAAACAAAAAAAAAAACACGCTAGCAAATGTACGTACAATGCTTCCAATTATCGAAAAATGTCGAGTGAACTGGACGGTGAGGCACCGAATTTTGCACCCTGTGAACATTGCGGACGAAACATTGGCAAACACCAAAAGATGCACGCTGACAAATGTGCGCATTGGACCTCACTTTGCAGAGAAGTAGTAGGAAAAAAACATTTTAAGAGCGTTCTCGTCTTTGAAGCCGAATTGATTTGGTTAAAGAATTTCTCTGATTACATTGGGGCTGATGGAGATGATCTATACATTAGATTTCAAATAATCGAAGATAGAAGTCTTGCATTCTATACAAGAATTTTCATTTTTATTTTTATTCTATTTCTGTTTTTGGCTATTCATGAAACTTTTATACGGGGTGAATATTTTGGATGCACTGTCTTCGTTTTGCTTATGGGTTTTTTGACCTATACCTGGAGAGCCTGGATTCCATTGCATGCCCAGTGGTTGATAATTGCGCTCTCAAATGGGCTTCTCTCTAAATAAGAAAGTCGCCCCTCTTATCAATCATTCTCCATTCAAATGGCACTAAAAAAAACATCGAGCAATTCCATCATATTAACCCCGAACTAAAAGTTATAATTCAAACATAAAAATGTGAAACTTAAATAATAATGCAATCACGTATTCATCATCAAAATTTCATTACAAAATAAATCGAATCAAAACAAAACCAAAATGCGTTTGAATATGTCTAAATGTGTGAAGTTTGACATTGGAATGAATTTGACACTTCCATTCGTAATGTTTAGACACTTTGTGTCATTCACTGACAGCTAACTGGTCATACTGACATTTGATAAATTTCACATTATAGGTGGACTTTCAGTCAATGATTAGCAACACACACACACGAGGCGTATCGAATATTTTTGCTGAAAAATTTGTGTTTTTAACGTGATTCCACAACCAATTCATCAATAAAACGCCATCAATTCGAATTTGAAGCGTTCACTTTATTAAAGCAATATGAATAAATTGTTACCACTGAAAAATTTGCAGAAACCAACATTGTTGAGTCATCCGATACGGTCATTAAGTACATCAAGTTCCAAATTCCAGTTGGCTGAATCAAAGGTCGATGAGGTGAGTAAGAGCCTAGAAATGTTTGTTTGGAAATTTTTGATTTGTTTCAGTACAGCACAAAACATTTTTTCTTGAAGCCAAAAGAAGTGCAGATTGAAGTGCCATGGGGTCATGTTGCTGGAAAGTGGTACGGATCGGAGAATACACGTCCAATTGTTTTGGTCCATGGTTGGCAAGATAATGCTGGATCATTTGATAAATTGATTCCGTTGCTGCTGAATGGACCGAATCGGTCATATTTGTCAATCGATTTGCCCGGTCATGGCCTCTCTAGTCGACTTCCAGACGGAATTTTGTACACGTCCACCAACAGCATTAACGTATTGAACATCATTCGACGTCATTTCAAATGGGATCAAATGTCGTTCTGTAGCCACTCACTTGGCGCACACATTTCATCTTTGTTTGCTGCACTTTATCCAGAGCGATGCGATTTGCTCATTTGTTTGGATGCACTGATGAAACCATATCTCGGCAATGTCGACACTTTGATCACAGAATGCCGGAAAATTGGTGATGATTTTTTGGATTTGGATCAATTGAATCGATCAGATAAGGAGCCACCGACTTATACGTACGCAGAAATTGCCGAACGTTGGGCCAAACAAACCAAAATAACAACAGACGCCGTTGAGTTTATGATGAAGAGAGGCGTTGTCCCATCGAAGGCCAATAAAAATCTGTTCTGCTTTTCGAGAGACGTTCGCCTTAAAATCATGGAGTTTGGAATGTCAAATATCAATGACGATGTTCAACTTAAACTGATCGGACGCATTCAAGCACCACATTTATTCATCAAAGCCAACAAATCACCCGAATTTGAAGGCAAAGAACGCTATAAGAAAGCATTGGAAATTTTAACCGAATCAAATCCGAAATTTGAATGGCGCACCGTCATCGGAGGCCATCATTGCCACTTAACCGAACCAAAACATGTCAGCGATCACATTTCCAAGTTTATCACCAAATATCACACAGAAGAAAATTAACAATCGTCACATTTATTTATTGTCACAGTTTATTGATAGATCCTATTCAAATGTCATATATATCGTTTAGTATTGATTAAAGTGCTTTGTTTCCATTTGCAATGAACAAAAATTATGACTTTTAATTAATGTTTGAGAGTTAATTTAATTTAAAAAATTTAAGGAAGACAGGATTGAACAGAAAACATTGAATAAGGAATTATTGTTGAAAATGTTTGTTCATTTTTTTAATTGATTTAGAACAATTTTCAGATTTTTTCACAATTCATGAACTTTCTCTATTTTTTTTAAACGCAAAAACGCTAATTTTTTATTTCTCAAAATAATTTCGCAAATTTCTGATTTTTAATTTCTCCAAATTCATGCGGAAATTTAAAAAAAAGAAGCAACAATTGATATTTTAGATTAGAAAAAAATAAATTCGGAGACACACTTCACAGGTTTTCGATTGTTTTATTTTTACTTTTTTTGATTCAATATTTTCTGGTTGAATAAAAATATTCTCGTTTTTTTTGAAATCCTTAATATTGCTATAATAATTCCTGTTCAGGCATATACATTTCAAATGCTCAAAGATTTTTTGTCGATTTCTTTCGGTGATTGAGGTAAAATAAATGGCCATAAAGAAACAATTGTCAGTTCAAGTGTGAATAATTTTTTTTATAATTTTTTTTTGGATTTTTTCTTTTTCATATTTGGTTTAATTGGTTTCATTTTATATTGAGCCCAAATTTTTGTCTAGAAAAATAGTTTATTTTTTTAATAACCACCTTTATTTTCTAATGAAACAATAACAAACTAAACCTCGTTTTTTCTAGTGAATAAACATTTTTCATAGGAACATTTTCGTACTTTGTTCAAAATTAATTGGTTTTTATGAGTTTTGTTTTTTGTTTTTGCTCTACAATTTGCATTATTTTTTATGTATCTTGAAATTTGTCGCATATATCCAATCAATTTAATTGCAAATTTTTAATTTCATGTATTTGCCTCAACTTGTTATGACCAATTGCAATTGGGTGCACCCTTAATTGTTGTTTACCATTTAAAATTCAAAAAAATTCAAAGTTTTCTCCCAAAAATGTAACTAATTCAATTCCTTGTTTCTGTTAATTTTCGCAGATTGATTCCAAAATGGCTGAATTTGAAGTAGAAGAAATACAACTGGACTTAACATATGGCCAAATCGCCGGTAAATGGTGGGGATCAAAAGAGAAACGTCCGATTTTAATGGTGCATGGTTGGCAAGACTCTGCTGGTTCATTTGACGTGCTTATACCTTTGTTACCTCGAGACTACAGTTACTTGGCGATTGATTTGCCCGGTCACGGTTTTTCATCACATTTGCCCAAAGGATGTTACTATCACACCATTGACTTAGTTCCACTTCTGGAGGAAATTCGTCTAAAAATGAAATGGGATCGTTTATCACTGATATCGCATTCGATGGGTGCGATCGTTTCATTTTTCTACGCTGCACTATTCCCGGAACGCGTTGATTTAGTGGTTGCTTTGGATACGCTCAAAATGCAACATCACCATCCAAAATACACCGAACGAATTTACACCTGGCGCACAAAACGATTGATCGAATTGATTGAGAATTTCAAAGAGCAAGCACCAGAATATACAAACGAAGAATTGATTCGTCGAGTTCATGAGGGTTCAATGCGATCTGTGGATATAGATAAAACCAAATACATGATTGACCGTGGCACACGGCCCTCACCAAATGACCCTGATAAATTTTATTTCACCCGTGATATTCGTGTCAAGTACATGCAACCGTTTTACGTCGAACAAAGCATTGGGCTGGATTACATAAAAAAAATTCAAGCCGCTTACTTATTCATCAAAGCAGAGGACCGTGACTTTTCCGAACCAGAAAAACATCTTCGCGAAGCGGTCGATCTCTTTCGACGTGTCAACAAAAACTTTGAAATGCTTCGAGTGAAGGGGACACACCATGTTCATTTGAATCAACCGGAGTTGATTGCGGGAAAAATTTGCCAATTCATTAAGAGACATCACATTCAAGAAGAACAACCAAACATTGATGTTAGATTAAAGAGTAAATTGTAAATTGGATAAATCGAAAATACTAATTCGGAAAATTAAAATGAATCTTATTCAAGTGAATGAATTTATAGGAAATTCGACGAATCGGATAGGGATAGGGTACTCTAAGTACAAATTCACATTTGAACGGTGTTTTTTGGTATATTTATTTGTTTTTTTTTGCTTTACCAAACTGCACATTCCAAACTATAAATCACACATATTTGAACATATTAATGGGAAATTTGAAGCAAATGCACATTCTGAAGAAAATATTAAAAGTTAAACGTGCCTTTACACTCCACCGGAAAAAATCTGAAATACACAACTTTGGCACACATTTTTTTACGATTTTTGATAAAGTATTCATAAATAGTATTGAACTCAACCATCCAGAATAATAATAATGAGATTTTTTTTTCTGTATATTCATTTATTAGAATTTCTAAACGGTAACCATTCTGAGCAAATGGTTATCAACACCAATGTATTGAAATAATTTTAAATAAAGTTATTCATTTACAAGATTTGTTTTCCCTGATATTTATTCTAGTAACTTCTTCTCCTTGAGTGAGCTTAACTTATTTTAACCGTTCACAAAATAATTCTGATAACCATCATTTCCATTGTGTATTGATTTCCAATTTGGGCACAATATTCAAAGCGGCGCGATTTCTTCTTGGAACTGTTAGTAGGTCGACTGCAATAATTAAGACACGAAATTGAAGCAGCCATAGTGAGATTGGAAGCTGATATATTCTTTAACTTTTTTTTGAAGTACATATTTTTTGATGACCTCACAGAGACAATAATTTGATTGAAAAAAACTTCGCCACATCGATTCTCATGTTTATGGTTTCTTTGTATTGGAAAAAGTGGAGTATTCTGAGCCATTATAGACCATTTCACAGGGAGCGATAAGTCCGGGTAAACTTAACACTTAAGAACAAAATTTGAAAGTTGAAAATAACACATCGGTCAATAAGTCCCGAGCCTAACCACCAAGTGGCAACACTAATGTCAAACCCATATCATTTTCGAAAACTACAACCTTTTTTAGGAATCCAGTCAAAATTTGAGCCAAATCCGACCATCAGTTCGCTAATTACAGCACTTTAAATGAAGCAATTTTCCAATTTTCCAAAATCATGGAAAAACTGCATTTCTCCTCTCGATTTGACACATGTATTCCAGAAGAAAAACGAGCAGGAGTACCAAACCCATACTATGATTAGTTTATGGCATCCTTAGGCTTTCGAAATCAATCATTAGATATGGAAGAATTGAATTTATGCATAGCCATAAGAGCGATTTTGTCGATAAGCCTCCAAATTGTTCAAAATATGTGGTTTTGGAAGAAATCATTGCCAAAATCCGTTAAGTGATATCGGAATTCTCAAATGTGATAGTTCATAGATTTGCTAAGGCCATAGGGCAACTAACTCAAGCTATAGTTACAACTTTGCATGGATATATGCATATGAAATACTCAATCGAAAAAGCCTTGCCGCGTTTTTGGATATGGAGTAGATAGAACAGTTTTTTGGGGATTCGAAGCCCGTTTGGAGCTGTATAAGTAAAATTTGAATAGGGTTTTGCCTTTATATATTAGAATTAATGTATTTTGAGTTCATTTGAATAGATTCGATCTATAAATTGCGGGTAGAAATCGCCAAAAACGGTTTGTAGCGACCAAGGTCGCAAAATATGAGTTCGGGCATTATTAGTGGATTTAGGTATAGAAAAAATATTCGCGAACCAGTGGGAAAGATATAAAACAACATGAAAAGTCACTTATGCATCATTTTAGACCTATCCGAATGTCAAATCTTGATAAAACATAGCAAATTTGGCGAAGAAAACTATGTTGTTCAAATGCGAGTTTCATCCAGGTCAAAGAACTGTTTATATGGTGATATAATTGAACGAAATTGGTTTCAAACTGCTTCACTAACCATTGTATTTTTTAGGTCTGGTCATTCTCTGAACTCTCCACATGAATATACTTGAATACAATGCATCAGAAGAAAGTTATACCGTTTTAACGGCAAAATTGAAGCATTTTCGGGAGTCTTTCTCTCGTATAGCTGTAACTAGCAAACTGATGGTCGGATTTGGCTCAAATTTTGACTGGATTCCTAAAAAAGGTTGTAGTTTTCGAAAATGATATGGGTTTGACATTAGTGTTGCCACTTGGTGGTTAGGCTCGGGACTTATTGACCGATGTGTTACCTTTTTTTGCTCTTAAATTTTTTTCTGAGATGTATTTTTGCCGTTTTTCATCCCCCACCGCATACAATCTGAATCGAATAACTTTGAAAAAAAAATCTCTACGAAATGTTTTATCAAGTGGACACCAAATAAATTGACTTAAACGCAACAACGATTTCGTTTCTTTATATTTATTTATTTCGAAATAATAATCATTTTGAGGAAATAGTAGCCACAAAAATTGTACAAAAGTGACAAATCCCATACTGCGGTTCCAAATTCTAGAACCAACGTGCTTGGTTGGTATAAGATAAACAGTTTCTAACACGACCACCAGCACAGTTTTTCAGTGTTGATGGACTACAGCTTCAGGGTTAGGAAATGTGAGTGGGCCAATGCCACTGGGCATAGAAATTAACTAATGGACTCTCATTTCGTCTAAATTATTTTTATTTATTACCATCCCTTTATGAATCAAAGCAAGTGAATATTTACCACGTTCTTCACGTTTCGATTGATAATCAGAGACTGCGTTGAGCATAGAATTGTATAATTAAAAATATTCGGCGCACCCCATGCATAAACAAAGGTGTGCTTGTTTTTTTTCTACCATAATGAATGTACTTCAACAGATATCATCAAAAATCACCGTTAGTAACAACGACGTATCTCTACTTTGTTCTAAATGACGTGCTTCAGTAGCAAAGCTTTATCGAAATTAGTCTATAGTCAGTGATTGTTCCAGGCAGACACAATATAATAAAAATCTCTGAAATGTATTTGGAAACGTCTGGTTTTCATGAACCGCAAGGAAATTTCCTAAACATATCACTACTGATATGTCACTTGTTTGTCATCTGTTGAGCTTGATTTTGCGTAAATTAAATCCATTGTGAGCGCAACCCCAACTTTAAGTTCATTGCTTTTGGTTTATAATACCTCAAGTGACACATTAAGAGAATTCATTTTACCAAAGAGTTCAATACATCCGATAGAGCTGAACAAAGGTCGATTGAATGCAAATGAAATGTTCAACGCAGTGTTCAATGAAACGGCATCTTTAGCAGTTTTCACATTTTATGATGCAATATCATGTGAATCATTGGGAAAATATCCCGTATTCTTGACCGCAATATGGTTAAAGGTGTTTGCCAGTTTATATTTCACACAATTGAAAATTAGTTTTATTGATGGTAGCGTCTACAATTGCAAAACCGTTACTGTAACGCATCACAAACTTCAACCAATGAAGCGTTCAATTTACAGTGATTTATATTTTAAATATGAACTACTGCCCTATGCTGAAAAGTGAGTGTGACAAGAATATTTTCCACGAGTCTTCAATGATATGTTGAAGTTAAATTTTATTCTATAATTCAAATCATTTGTAGAATTTCCTCCGAATCCATGGTCGGACTTTATTTCAATTCACTTGCAAAGCTTCATGAACCAGAATTATGGAAACAATCAGTTGCCATCCATACACACTACGGAACTGAAAGTGATTTTTGTGTATGGTGTCGATTTTCCTCGACTACGTACCAATTTCAACACATCTTCTTTTTGGAAAAGTTTGAGCTTTTGGATTTTATTCGTTGTATTTTTTGTGGGCACAATCATTTTTTTCTTCTTGAGACATCAGTCTGGTCTTGGAGGAGAGAGCTTTTTGTACTGCCTTTTCGAAATGTATTGCACCGTCATTGGCAATGGAAATCTTCGAATTCGGATCGGTTTGGGGAAGTTATTTTTTTCTGCCGTTTTTGTCACTGCATTTTTATTTGTTTCAATTTATTTGATCAACTAGTCAATGCATTCGCTTCTGTACAAACACATGAAAGTGGACTCATTTGAAGAGTTGGCCAAACGAGATGTTCCACTTTATTTGTATAGCCCATTCAAACAAAACCTGGATTATGTCACTCATATTTTAAGGTAATACACTGAAAAAAAATCGTTTGTAAAATAGAATTATATTTTGTCTCACACTCGAATAATTCCAAAAATGACGAGTAAAAAGTGTCGTTCAATCGACTATTAGATTTAACTAATTGCTAATCTACATATTTGCAGTGATAAGCTTAAAAATGAGGCTCATGTTACGCATGCAACCAGTAATGGCCGGTCATTGACCAATGAACAGCACAAAGACAAGGCGATAGGGTTCATCTTACCATCGTCTATGACCGAAGCATATACGACAATGTTTAGAGATAAAGGAAGAGAATATGATATCATTGTAGAGAGTTTGGGTAAATAAATATTTTCTGAATATTCATGTTTCATACAAATATAAGTGAATAATGTGTGAATGTACAGAATGAGCATTTAATTGGCAAACATATCTATATTTGCAATTTGTGCTCTGCCTCTAAAATATTATTCCACAATAAATATCGTCGGCTAAAATCATTTCAGGTGTGGTGTATAGGAATTCGATAAGTCAGATCGAACGATTGAGAGATTTGATAAGTTGACAACGTCATTCATCGAAAATGGTTTATCTGAATTTACAGAGAGGTCTTTGAAATTTTCGCTGGCAGTCTTTAGCCGAGCAGAATCTAAACACGATCGATATAGAAAACAATTTGATGTTGAATCGATTACCCTGGATGAAATATACTATTCACCACTCATTTATGTTTGTATCTTGATAAGTATCACTATCATTTTCATTATTGAAACATTGTTGGCCACGTATTCGCTCGCTTCAAGTAATTCCATAGATTGTGTCTAATAGAACGCATACACATGATGCGAGCTAGGCAACGCAACCAACATTACGTCGGTTTTGAAATTGGTATTAAATGCTATGTCGTCCCTTATGTAGTGGAGCTTTATGGTTTTGTTAGACAAATTATAATGATATTTGAAGACAATATATGAACCATTGCGACAAACAAATTCCCACAGAATATTTTAGTTTCAAAGTGCAACATGAATTTTTTTTATATATGTAGAGTTTACAACAACAACTCCATATGAAAAAAACTTTATGTTGAACTTTGAAACTAAAATATTCTGAGGGAATTTGTTTGTCGCAATGGTTCATATACGCGGTGTGTATTATGAACTTTGTGTGTTTCAAGTCAATATGAAAAGTCGCATACATCTTTTTTTTTTTTGTGCATATATGCAGGGCGATAAGTCCGAGTAAATCCCCCTATCTTAAGAACAAGATTCCAAAACAACATTTAATTTGAGATTTGAAAGTTGAAACTCAACAACGATTTTTTTACTTTATATTCGGTATTTTATTTGAAATAATAGTCTTTTTGAGAAAATAGTAACATTCAATAGTGAATATGATATAAGTATTTGGAATTTTTTCTAGTGTTTCTTTTTGTTAATTTAGTTCATTGATATTGTGATCATTGCAGATATTGATTATTATATTATAAAATATGCTTTTCGCTAGGTTCAAGGGGCGAATTACTACTGAAAAATTGAATTCAATACTTTTCAGTACTTTTCGGTGCCCAATGTATTAGTATATGAAAGTACTGAAAACGGCATTAATTTTCGAGGAGAAAAATGAATAGATGGCAGATCTGTCAAAACAAATTTCAACTGTCAAAAATCCCAATCTATTTTGATACTGAAAAACACTGAAAAATACTAAAAATATTTTTCAGTTCTTTTTAGTACTTTTCAGTTGTTTTCATTGGATTTCAGTGCTTTCAGTCTTTTCAGTAGTAATTTGCACCTTGGCTAGATTATTTGACGTGATTTAAAATTAACACTTTAAAATTAAATTACTGTCATTTACATCAATATTTGGATTATGACCTTGCTTTCATGCAACAGTCAAAGTCGAATTCATCCGCACCAGAGATTCCGGTCCATTTATTGAACGGAATGCACCACCAGTATTTTCGGTCAGAGCTCTGAAAATGTTGAGAAAAATTATTGATCAATTCTTCTAATTTCTAATACTTTTTTTTAAAAAAAAAGGCTGACATAAATACACTAGCACTCAGAATTCGTTTCAAATTTGACTTTTGAATCTTACAGTTTATTCTTTGGAATGTAATATTTTTCCAAATTACTTTCACAAATCGTTGCGTTCTCCCGAACGTATTGTCCATAACCGTGCAGTTCGATGTCAACAAAATCGATGAATGGTTTAATTTTCTCAAATGGTCCACGGGAGAGTTGAATGGCCCACAATGTGTATGGACTAAGCAATTTGATGCCAGCGCTGAGTTTATCGTAAACATTGTTTCGGTCGGTTGGTGCTTGGTTTTTTTCACCAAAACTAAATTCAATTGTTAGCGGTCGACTTGATATTGTGTAAAAGTCATCGTTGCATCTATAATTCGATTCGCCCATATGGGTAAGCGTAACATGAAATTCTTGAAGTATTTCGGCCAATTGATTCGTAACATTTTGATTCTTTGCACGGAATTCCAAGTCGATTATATTAAACTTGACGGCATTACGTGGATTGCTCTTCGTTACATCAGCATAAAGATGGACTCTCCGCCCGTCAAACAATTGATTGATTTTATCACGAACTTCGTCGTTTTTCCACACATAAAACGGACCTTTTGAACCGCGTTCATTATTAAAATGCGCCACATGTATGAACATATCATTTTCATTGATGACCGTCGTATTGTATTCCCGGATCTTTTCACTCAGAGTCTTGATTTTATTCGTAACAATCATCATGACGTGATCAAAACTGTCGTCATTCAATGAGTTTGGCCAATCATAAGCGTCCAAATACTCGGCAGCGTATGGGAAAATGGTTTGTTTGAATGCATCAATTGCACGATAATATTGTCCAAGAATCAGATTTCCACGTAGGTGCATCTGTAACGTATTGATCTCATTTTGTGTTTGTGAATCAATGTCTAAATTCTGGTAATTTGCCGTTTGAAGACCGCTCAAATAGCTAGCAAACTTTAAATCCTCTTGATAGTGGTGTTGCCTATCAAAAATATCGATCATCAAATTGATAGCTTCACTAATGCCCACTAGGCAATTTTTTGTGGCGTATTCAGTTTCAAAACGATCAACAGCGTCGTTTAATCTCTTTTGCACCTTGCGAAATGAAACACCAAACTTCCATCGAATCACATTTAGTGCTACTGATGATTTATTGGCCAAATCTCCTTCGGTGTTCACTATATTTTCGTGTAATGTATCGATCAGTGGCATTAGTTCAGCATAAATTTCGTCTTCAAATCGCATAAATGCTATCAATGTTTCGTGGTCATCGTTTATTGCTTCGCCGATTTCGTCAAGTCCCTGGCCATCATTGGCAAAGTCTTGATAGCATGTTGTGGATGATGCTGTTACGGCCAACGAATTCGCTTTTTTTTGCAACAGTCGACTGACTTTCATATTTAGTTCATTAGATGTGATGATGAATATGCGTTTCCATTCGCCTAAAAAGTCAATGCATTCGTTCAGCAAATGACTTATTTTGTAGGGCTCAAAAGATTTTTCGGATTTAATTATGGTAACTTTTGATATCAAATTACTCAATTCGTTGCAAAATTTTGGCATTTCGAAATTTATTTCCTTCAATGAATCCATTAGATCTGTCAGCTCATTTTCAATGATGTCAATTTTCATTTGATAATCACCAGCAGCTTTGCTGCGAAGCCGTTGAATACTCAACGGCAGTTCGCTTGTTTGAGTTCGTTCAATTACAGGATCATTCAAATTTTTGCTCATCTCATTTGTGACACCATATGCAATGGTTGCGATCGATTTTACGAACAGTTGATGAACAACAGCGAAAATATTTGACACAAATCCCACCACCTTTAACATACTACGTGTTACTGCATTCCGTCTGATTATAATTGTATTGGCTTCCTTTTTCTGTATGTCTTTGATTGTTTTCACTTGACAAGAAATCGTTTCGTTGACAGTTTTCTGCATTTCGATGTGAAGCGTTGCAAAATTTGTCTCAATTTCTAGTTTGATATCATTTTCGATGTAATCATTCGCCTCGTTGATTTTGGCCATTATTCCATCGTTATACACATTACATTGTTCATTGATTACATAAATTCGGCCGCTTTCATCTAATTTCGCAATATTTTTTATGATCAGGTCCAAGAAATTTTCAATGTCAATGATTAAATCGGAATTATGATCGGTACGAACACTTGTCGTTTTGCTCTTGAGTGTAGTATACAGAAGTGCAAACACTTTTCTGTCAACTTCTGAAAGTGACCCCATTTTTGTAACATTTTCGAGTCTCTTCAGCAAATTGTCATATAACGGCAATATATTGACATGTTGATTTAATTTAAAATACTGTTCTTCTAGAATACGTGCTTCCATTGCAAAGCTTTTTGTTGAATAAAACACGTATAGGTAGCTTGAATCGAGTATATCGTATGCCTTTCGTATGCCATCCACTAATATTGGATTGTTCATGCTTTCAAGTAAAAATTTCTTGTATTCAACGATTGCTTCTGCAACATGGACCTCTTCATTTGAATATTTCGGTATAGAAATTATTGTATTATCGAATGCATAGTCACCGGAACTAGAGCATCGAGGATTATGGATGTAATTTTTACTATGAAATTTGCTGTAAAAAGACCAAAATGCTGGAGCCTCATCCAAATGTGTATCAATTTTAAGATCAAGCGCCAAACTTTCACAGACTTTCGCTGTTTGCCCTTTTACACCATCGGAACCGTCGCTCCTTTTTATTTTTGGTTGATAATTCAAATATTCTTCCGAGAAAAAAGCGGCTTTTGTGTACAAGAAACTGGATTGTCCGGATTTGCCACCTAATCCACCTACAAAATAGATGAACAGTTTAGACTGAGTTCATATGCTTTGGCAAAAGATTTCAAAACGTTTTTCTTCTATATGTAGTCCATTTATTCGTCAACAATCATGAGTCAATTGGTACAATTTCCATACAGGTATTGTTTTTGACATTTTTTTACTTCCTCTATAATTGCGATTTTCATATTTTCCCAAGTGCGAACGTTACGTCTTTTAAAAGACGTGGTTCACGTATTCACGCCTTTCTCACCACTATACCATTTATCACTGCACAGAAGACGTACGTCTTTCGTGTGGTAATTATATAGAAGACATGAGAAAGGCGTGAATACATGAACCACGTCTTTTAAGAGACGTAACGTTCGCACTTGGGTTGCTCCAAAAATTGTGCCTTCGGCATACATTTTTCAGGGAATGTATTCAGCTAACATAATCTAATACAATACATGCTTTCAAGCGTTATCCTCTAACTGCAGCAATTTCGTATTTGTGAATTACATTCAGAAAAAATCGTTGATCTTTTGAATTTGTGACAAAGATTTCAATGATTTCCACGAAAATTCAAAATTTACGAATTTGTTCTAGATCATGATTAAAAAAACTGAAAAAGAACCCTTTTAAGGTATTTGGCCCCATCAGATGGGATTTTTTGGTAAACAATGTTCATAAAATTTGTTTATTAAACAGCTACAATTTTGCTGAAGATGATATGACTCTAACATCAACCTACTGGATTACACAAACTACCTAGGTCAATAAAATCAAAATTAACGCAAAGTTAGCAAAACCCAGCTAGGATCTTATTCGGCTATAGGTGTACTTTAATACGGTATGAATCATACCACCAGTCATAGTCATGGCAACTAACATGATATATGAACCGTTGCGACAAAAAAAAATTCCCTCAGAATATTTTAGTTTTAAAGTGCAACATGGAATTTTTTCATATGGAGTTGTTGTTGTAAACTCTACATATATAAAAAAAATTCATGTTGCACTTTGAAACGCATATGGAACTCAAAATATAACCCAACATTCAAAAGTTCTCTAAATTAAAGAAGAAAGCCAAACGGTTTTAAAATTTAATGCCCAAGCATTTGAGCTTGGCCTTAATTATGATTAATTCGCTCCTTTGGTGTATTTCTGATTTTTCATAATGAAACAAATTTATCAATTCTTGTTTCACTTACCATAACCTCCAACCCCTGTTTTACCGCAACACCCGTTCGAATATAGTCGAAAACTATGAAAAATATTCGTTTGTGCGAAGAGTACGTAAAAATACGTGTTTATTTTTGAGTCCTTTAGTTCAGCGTCATACCCATTTTCTCTGAAGAATCGTCGGTAATAATTATCTGGATCAGTATTTCTAGGATCAATCGATCCTTTTCCATCATGGGTTGTTCTATCGAATGAAACTGTAGCATCTGGACTGCCCGTACCATCTTGTCCATTTCCACCGTTGCCACCATTCAATTCGATAGTCAATTGCTCAATATTAAAAACATCGTTTGCTACACCAAAAAAGTTTCCAGCATGTGTCCCCATATTACCACGTTTTCCAGCCCGACCATCATATTCTAGTCTAGGATGTGGTTCACCATCGATTCCGTTTAAGTAAAATGTTGCTGCTTCTTGAACATTCCAAGTTGGTGCAAAAATTTGAAGTTCAACCTCGATGGTTTTGTTCAAAAAGAGATCACAGTTCACATAAAACGTATCCGAAACATATACGTGAATCTTTTTCAAAGTTCGCTTCGATGGACATTCCATAAATTTTTCATTTATATCGGAACTTTTTACGAAATTTCCTTTGATTACCATCAATTCATTGTCACACTGAAATTTTATAGACTCCTTCAGTGTGGAATTTATTATCCCATTTAGTTCATCAAATCTGCTTGAACATGAATCGAATTCTGTGTCACGTTTCATTCGGGATACAAATCCGTTGAAATTCGTTTCATCAATAACAAGTCCTTGTGATTTGTTAAACTGTCCCCAGTCGGATAAGTTGGCCACATTATAAATTTTGACATTTTTCTGCACATCGTAACCGGCGAAATATCGATAAGTTTCAACTAAAAACGAATACCATTTGTAATTTTCAATCAGGTATGTGATAGCAGATGACGAGTCTCTTTCGATCCAGTCTCGAGTTGGTATAACGATTTCATCTTGTGCCATCGATTTTAGTGCACTTAGAATTTTTTCGTGCTTTTCAATGCGAATCAAATCATTGATACAGATCGATGTAATGTCAAACGTGTTAGTTAAATTGTTGAATTGTTCAATTCTTTTTTTCAATGTAGAAATATCTCTTGCCCGTGACGATCCTATACACCCTTGCAAGAGTCGAAGATATTCGAACTTTTTCTGAAAACTATCAATTGTTAGGAGTTGTTTTCTCAGTGCAACGGTCAATTTTCCATCGATGATCATCAAAATATTCGAAATATTTCTGATGGTTTCACGGGCTTTTGTGGATATGTTTGTTTGAGTTTCGATTCGATATTCTTTGAAAAAATCAATGATTTCCTTCATAAACGAGTTATAGTTAATCTTTGACGCGTTCATTTCTGAGCCATTCAACGATTCCAGTGTGTTGAGATTGCTTTCGTAGCTTTCGATTTGGTTGAATTGCATCGTATCAATTGAAGTCACATTGAATGCCTTTATTAATCTTATCAGCTGTTCGGATGTTTGTTTCAATGTGAATGCTTCACCTTCAATGCGATTTTCGCCGAGGTCAATCAACTGAAGTCTCTTTTTAAAACTGGTCACCGATTCAAATTGCCGCTGAATGTCGAGAAGTAAGTGATCATTAACATTTTGTAGCGTCGATGAAATTATATTTTTACTATGCTGTGTCATACTTTTGATTTGCAGTTGCGCCTGTGGCGACAACGGGAATCCAAAAACATTTGATTGAATGTCGACAAATGTTGAATGTTCAAGTATGGATTTGCGTATGGAACGACGACCTTCAACCATTTTAGCGATTGTATTGAATGGTCCAGGACGATTTGGACGCCAGAAGATCGAAATTTTGGAATAGTCATCATTTGATGATTGCTCTAGCAAGGCATCAATCAACTGAATTTTCCGTTCACTCGATCCTTTCTTCTGTAGAAATCCACGATGTTCATTTATAAACTCGGCCGTTGTATTTTTCACACTGTCTTCAGTCACATTAATTAATTCATCGTACCAAATTTCAACTGGTCGCACTTTTGTCACCACTAGCGATACACTATTTTCGAATTGTGTGACATTTTTCAATAGTTCTACAGTACGTGCTAATAATTCATCAAAATTTTTGCGATCATGCCCTTTGGTAACGGATTCATAATCTTCGACCAACACAAATTTTATAATTTTCGCACTCTCAATGACACTTTTAATCAAGAATGCCGTAGCAATTTCAACCGTTTCATTGCGTGTGTCCTGAAAACCGGGACAATCACAAAACTTATTTTGCTCTTCGTCGACAATTATCTCTGGAACGAATGTTCGCGATTCCGTTGATGATGTTACTGTTCCAGCATTCGGATCGAGTTCGTCGTGGATTTGGAACGATTTTGAATTTGTATTTGATGGCACTTTCGACACGAGCTTACTTAAATCACCAGCAATACAATGAACTAAAGTTGATTTACCAACTCCTGTTCTTCCCATTACCAATATTAAATTCGAGTTTTCTGTTATGTTCAATTGAATGCGCGCTTCGTTCACGAAATTCAAAGTATTTTCAGCGGAATCAACGATATTCTCACTGAAAGTCAATCTTGAACTTAAGAGCAAAACAAACAACACACACTGGAATTGAGTCATTTTGCACCGAATAGAATTTTACTGTCTCAAACGACTTTTCAAACAATTTTTCCGCATTGATTGCCACACGTTCAAATGAGCACTGCCAATCTCATCAGAACGTTCACCCGTTTTATAAAGCGAAAGAAGGAAATGAAATAAAATGGAACAACACCAAACGAAACAAAAAGAAAAGCGATAATGATGAAATACAAGAAATAATTGAAGAATTCCGCGAAATGGATGAAATCATGTGGGATGAAATATGTGAATATGCACCAATGGTACAGCACTATTCAAAGTTGCTATGAATTTCATTTTATTTAGAGTTACCAACGAACAATTTGTATTAAACAATCGACACGTGTATGTTTTTGCCTTTCATGAGATTAAATCAAAATCCAGTTGCATTCTGTCAGACAATGCTGTCGGCAATGTTGATAATGTGTTGACTTTTGATCGGAGCTGCTTTTTTAAATGATATTTGAACCGTTCATCACAAGACTGAATTGACTGGATTTTGATTTAATCTCATGAAAGGCAAGAACATGCACGTGTCGATTGTTTAATACAAATTGTTCGTTGGTAACTCTAAATAAAATGAAATTCATAGCAACTTTGAATCATACTAGATGTTTTAAGCTCACCAAGTTGGATTGATACATGGATTCAAGTGGAATGTATGAAGATTACAGATCTTATTTGTGAGAAATAGAAAGTAAAGTAAATAGAATAGTAAAAGAAAAAATGTTTTTTTTATCGATCTGTATTTTATAAACGTGGAGTATGTTCCCTGTTAATTGAGTCTGTTAAAAAATATGTTGACACGCCCCGGGCTGTTGCGGTTTTTCGCAAACATCATTAGTTGCAATGAAATATACTTCTCTTTATCGCTATGAAGTTGGACAAACCTACGCTGTTTTACGCCTCACCAATAGATATCACTTATTTGACGAATAACACTCAACATAGGGGACAGCGTTCAATGAAAATAATAAGACCAAAGTTCTCACTTTTATCACGGACAGCTTCCTGGCTTTGTTTTTCACAAAGAGGACAAGTGTAAATTCATGTTGCAATTTAACTCCTATCTTTTTACATTTTTCATCATTTACTTTGTAATGTCTCTGATTTGAGTACTAATTAAGACCATTTGATTGTAATTGTGAATGATCTTCTTCGCATTTATTTTACATTTGATAATTTTCCTCTACAGATTGAACACATTTTATTTACATCCTAATCGAATAAAACAATGTGTGTTGACTCGTCCAATGAGAAATCTTTTCCTTTTGTGCTTGAGTAAAACTCGACTGCGTCTTTTGCAACTAAATGTCGAACAATTTTACCAGAATCGGTCACAGGTAGTGAGTCTACAAAGTAGACACCGCCTTCAAGTCGTTTATGTTCCGAAAATGTATCTACAAATTGATAAAAAAGATATTTCTTTTCATAAAAATATAAAAATCCTCTTTTCTGACGTTGCTGAATTCCAACCATTGAACGAAATATTAAATTTTATCGTGAATGAAAACTCACTTGCTACAGCGTCATAAATGGATCGTTCATTGCATGTTGAATGGTTTGTTTTAACAATTACGGCAGCTGGGATATAACCACACTTCGGATTTGGAATGGGTACCACACACGATTGCTGAACACCATCGATTTTGTTTAAGAATTCCTCGATTTCCGTTGGCATCACATGATAGTCATAGCATTTGAAGAGCTCTTTTTTCCGTCTAGTAATGAACAGATCGCCATTCTGATCAAAATGAGCGATGTCACCAGTGGCCAAAAAACCCTCACCATCAAGGTGATTTGTTGTTTCATTGCCAACAAAGCCAAGAAACGGATATGTTTGTTTTATGCAGAGCTCACCATCTTCATCGACACCCAATCGTTCTCCGTGTTCGTTAACTATTTTCGCTTCGCATCCACTGATCAATTGACCGGCGCTGTTATTTTTGGAATGGTACAGATTAATGGCGACTATTCCAAATGTTTCAGTCATTCCATAGTTATGACAAAATCGACCACCCTTTAAATATTCATTCACTTTCTGAATGACGTCAAATGATGTTTTTACTCCACCGCTGGTATAGTGTTTCACACTGGACAGATCGGAACTATTGATTCGGGGATGATTTAGTAATTGGAAAGCTTTGTGTGCTGCACCCAGTGCAAATGTCACTTTGTACCGTTCAACCAGATCGAAAAACCGTTCCGGCGAAAAAGAACCCTCATTCACAATTCTCGTTGAACCATTTAATGTAGCGCCGAGAAAAGCACGCAACCCAGTTACCACGTACCATCTTTCAAATCCGAGTACAACGTCCGTTGATCCGATCATCTGTGATAACCGCCTTATTTTGTCTAATATAGCCGCATGTGAGAAACGAGCAGCTGTAAGCGTAAGTTTATACTTGTTTACAATAGTATTGAAATTTGAAGCAAAACGCTCCAATGAAAATTGAGTCAACTCACCTTTTGGAATGCCAGTTGTGCCAGATGTTTGGAAAATAAATGCCGTGTCCGTGATACCATCGACTTTAGTTGGGCTAAAATGGAATCATTCAATTGAATCTTTAGGAGAATGAAGAAGAAATCATAATTTTCTTACACGAAATATAAGTCCATGTCATCCTCTTTGAACAAATCATCTACCGCAATCGATCCTTCACTTTGCCCATCAAATGTAAAGAATTTGGCTTCAATCTTCAATTCAGCGAGACAGTCCTTCATCATGGCATAGTATTCCAAGTCACAAAATACATATTTCGGCCACACAATGCTCAAATAGCGAACATGTTCGAGCTTTGAAGAGCTTGATCGTCGCGCTGTTATCACACATCCTAAACACAATGCTGCAAACACCAGCGCTGGAATATCGGAGGTATTATCTGTTACGAAAAATACGACTTCACCTTTTTCAAGTCCAACATTTCGAAGACGCTTCGCCACACGAATAGTTAATGTATGCAACTCATTGAATGTGGTGCATTTGCCGGTTTCGGCGCAAATCTGTTGATAAAGTTCATCAGATGAACAAATATTATCGAATAGATATTATTAATTTGTTTTTGTTTGGATTTCAAAAAGAAATTAAGCAATTCAAATTAAGGATAAATTCATTTGAGAAGAAAACACACAAAAAACACACAAATTGTTCACCTGAGCAACTCTAGATCCGTTAACTTGAAGCTCACTCAGAATAACATTTCCCAAAGATGTGTGAGGATTGAAGACCGAGTCCGTTGTTGCGCCGTTCCATTGCTTTCGCTTCTTGCTGTATATTGTACGAAACATTTTAAACAACTGCAGTAGCCACAAAATGTGATTGAAAAATAAAATAGAAAGTGAGTAGACGTGGAATACCTCCCAAACAGTATTTTAATCAATTGAAATGTGGGTAAATAAATATTATGTGTTGGTGAGTTCTTATCTGATAAAAATGGCTAGCATTTGCAGTGATTGCAGTCGGTTTTGTTATCAAAGCTCTCAAACGTAATCGTGTTTGGGCATAACAAAACAATACGTATGAATACATCAATCAGCAGCGGCGCCGAGTCTGGGCAAGTAAAGTTATCAAACGTTAAAAAAAAACAAAAGCAAATAACTTTGATTGCAGCGAATTGAATTTATAATCACTTGGGACAGTCACAATGACATCCACAGCCACGTTGGGTTTGTTTGCCTATTAATATTTAGAGTTTCAAATTTCAAATTGATTTGAGACCAATTACATGTCGGTTTTGTTTTTTTTAAATCAATATTGAACAAAATTCACACGTATGCCTGCACTGTGTAATGCCCAATGAAATGAGAATTTCTATGAAATGCAAAGTTATCGAAATACAATCAAGTAATAGAATGGAGTTCTTTATGTTGAATAAAAATGATATTTAATAAAAAATGAATAGAGTGTGTGTGTGTGTTACATTGCTTTCTGATTTGAACTCTTAAACTGAGGTTAGTGCGTAGCGCTCACATCCATCTGAACATTCTGCTTATGTCAAATGTCAAACTAGACGATACGAAATCAAGGTCGCGTTCACATTCATTATACATATAACATTCGCATTAAATTATTTCCAACATGAAATACAATATTTTATCAAAAAATATTGGAAATGTCAAGGGCGTGATACGAATCACGTACATTTGATAGGTGTATTCTCTACGATGCAATTGTATATTTGACATTACATCAGGTGATTATTATTATTCAATTTTAAATTGAAACAACTTTTTTTGATGTTTCAGTCTTCATACAACCCGGAAAAAAACGAGAGTACTTGAATTTCAAATACGCTTGAAGTATTCGATAACTGGGTGCTTGTGAGTGGTAGACTAGCGAATATAAATGCATCGAAAAAATTGCATATAAATTCACCGAGTCAGCAGAAGCATCACATTCAATTGCCATTTGAATTGATTCAATTCGAGAGATAGTTTATTCACAATAGAGATTCAGAGAGTTAACCTCACAAATTTTTTCAGCTCTACTTGGAAGTTATTACATTGTGAGTCCCATTTAAACTCCTTTTTGCTGCACTCGTTTACACACTTCGTGGATACTGCAATTATTTAAAATGTTTCGTACAATATTCGACAAAGAACGAAAACAATGGAGCGGCCCAAAAACGGAATCCATTTTCAATCCTCATTCATCTTTAGGGAACGTTATTCTGAATGTGCTTCAAGTTAATGGCTCTAGAGTTGCTCAGGTAACATTTGCGACACAAATTATCGTGTGTTTTTTTTTGTGGAAGGGAGTTTTTCTTAGATGTATTGCTCCTTGGATTAAATGAGCTTTAAATTTTCTTTTTACTTTCGAAGCAATCTTTTTTCCCATTTAATGAACTTTTCCACCAGATTTGCGCAGATACCGGTAATCGTACCACATTCGATGAGTTGCATACACTGACAGTTCGTGTGGCTAAACGTCTTCGAAATTTCGAATTTGAAAAAGGTCAAGTCATTTTCTTTTTGACAAATAACTCCGCCGACATCCCAGTGCTAGTGTTTGCTGCAATGTGCTTAGGATGTCCAGTAGCATCGCTACCGTCATTCCATTCAAAAATGGAATATTTTCAACATTTGAGTGCTGTGAAACCGAAATATGTGTTCTGTGACCTGGAATACTATGCCATAATGAAGGACTGTATCTCTAACTTGAAGATTGAAGCAAAATTCTTCACATTTGGTGGTCAGATCGAAGAATCCGTTTCAATAAACAATCTGTTCGAAAAAGACAATATAGACTTATATTTTGTTCCAACGAAGGTGAATGGCATCACGGACACGGCATTTATTATTCAAACATCTGGCACGTCCGGCATACCAAAAGGTAACTATTATTTTTAATCAGAACTTCGAAACTAACGCAAAATTGAATAAAATTCCAAAAAAAAAACGACCAAAAATCTCGATTTTTTAAATTATTCATTTCATTTTTCTTTTGTCATTCCATGAAACACCAACAGCTATTTGTTTCTCACATGCGGCAATATTGGACAAAATCAGGCGATTATCACAAATCATTCGATCAACGGACGTTGTTCTGGGATTTGAAAACTGGCATTTCGTAACCGGAGTTCGTGTACTTTTTGGTGCAACGTTAAATGGTTCGACGAGAATTGTGAATGAGGGCTCCTTTTCGCCCGAACGCTTTTTCGATCTGGTTGAACGATTCGAAGTGACATTCGCTTTGAACTCAGTGATTGAAATTTCGCAACTACTTGATCATCCACGAATCGAGAGTGCCGATCTGTCCAGTTTGAAGTACTATACTTGCGGTGGCATGAAAATACCATATGAAATCGTTCAGAAAATGAATAAATATCTAAAAGGTGGTCGATTTTGTCATAATTATGGAATGACTGAATTGCTAGGATCAGTCGCCATCAATTTGTATCACACAAGAAATGCTAGTGCCGGTCAATTGATCAGTGGATGTGAAGTGAAAATTATCAACGAACGCGGAGAACGATTGGGCGTTGATGAAGATGGTGAACTTTGTATTCGGCAACCATATCCATTTCTTCGTCACCTGCTCGATGATGACCACGAAAACGAAATTGTACACAACAATTTTGATAACGAAGGTTTCTTTGCCACTGGAGACATCGCTCATTTCGACCAAAATAACGATTTGTTCATCATTGGACGGAAAAAGGATTTATTCAAATCTTGTGGCGACTACACAGTCATCCCAATCGAAATGGAGGAATTTTTGAACCAAATCGATGGTGTTCAACAATCGTGCGTTGTACCCATTCCGGATGTAAGATACCATAATTTACCGGCGGCAGTCATTGTGAAAACAAAACGATCAAATTGCTCTGCAGAATCCATCTACGATGCCGTTAGGGGTAAGAAAAAAGCTAACTTCTAACCCCTTTTTTCATATTTTTCCTAGAAATGAAATTTCAAATTCTAAATAAAGTAATTTGAAAATAAAATATTTTCTATTTCCGTACTTTATTCGCTAATTTTTAACATATATTTCCAGACAATTTTGCACCTTACAAACACCTTCAAGGTGGCGTCTACTTTGTAGATTCATTACCACTGACGAACTCTGGAAAAGTTGTTCGACATTTAGTCACTGAAATGGCAATCAATCTTTATGACAAACAAAAAAATCGTTGAATTAATCCACTGAAATTGTCTTTTATTCGTGAAATTGATGGAAAATTTCTGAAATTGTCAAATATGTCATGTACTCTTTCTTATTGTGACTCATAAATCGATGGAACTGTAAATAAAAAAAATAAGAGCAATTCAACCCAATCTAAAGTGGAACAGCTGGTGATATGCATGTTGATGGGCGTGAAATTGGTTTTTTATTCGTTTATTGACCATGTAATTTGTATGGATGAGATAATATTTTCAGGGAGATGATAACCTTTGGCCGAACCATGAGTACCCTATAACACTTAATGTGTAAAATAAATCTTTTAATACTAGGTAACACGTAGTTGAAACGTCAGCGCATCTTAAATTCACAGAGGAATTAATTTTTTCAAATGTATCAAGTGAACTCGTCCACTATATGTTCATTAAGTGATAAAAAAAAGCAATGGATAGTCGTTATTGATGATAGAGATTTTTTTTGCATCGTCTTAAAAAACTCCGCTCTGCGTTCTTGAAGCTTGTAAATTTATGGGGTTTAATTAATTTGATGTTTCACATCAAATTATTATCGTAAGCACTACATGGAATGTAGTTTTAATCGTAGTATACTTTTTGTATGCAAATCATTTTAATATTGACAAAAAAAATTAAATAAATTTATATGATGATATTGTATTCTTCACTTATGTGTTTTATGTACATTCAATGTGAATGATCATCGTACATTATTTCACATTGGTAGCGAAAGTGTAAATTTTTTTTTGAGTTATCTCAAAAGTGAATTACAAGAACATGATTTTATTTCATTTTTGCAATTAGGCGTAATTGCTTCATTTCAAATAAAAAATATGGATATTAAAATGAATCAATTTATGGTCCAAAAAAATGGCTCAAGGACTCTTAAAATTTTCTTGGAAAAAAAAAACAACTACAGTAGCCTACATTCCATGTAGTGCTGAAAATGACATCGAAAACAGACACAATCAGAGATCAATCACGGGTCACAATGACTCGATCGTCTATGTTTAACATCACTACAAATGATATGCCTAATGAATGGATTACTCGTTTTGTTTCATAACAATAAATTTCTATACCACTTATCAGCACTGATGCAGTTTCACTCAAATGAGAGTCATACAATCATACTACTTCAGCGTAATCAACAATTTGTTCACAGCTCCTGGGTCAACCAATCACCCATTTACGAACCATATCATTTCAATAACAAATAAAATAGGTAGATAACAGTAAAAGAGAGAGAGAGAGAAAGAATAAGTATACTTACTCTATAGAGTTGATATCAGAAATTAAATTACTTTGAAACAATTTATTCTCCGAATTAAAGTGTGTAAATTACGTCTTTATTAAATTATAATAAATAAATCAACACATTTTGTACATTTGGAACAACACCAATACACATTCAAAGTAGTCAGCATATAAATTACGAGTACTATTTCTAAATAAATATCCCTTATATAAATTAAATCTAAAAAGAAAATAATCTGTGTCAAACTACTGGTCTTAGTAAAGTAAATTTCCTGAATTTACAAAATTAAAAATAGGAATTGAAATCGATCTAAATTTTTTGTTCCTTATTTCCGCTCCATCTTTCTGTTGTTCTTCCTGGGTGGTATTTTATAAGGAAATCACTAATTGGCCCTGAAATTATTTCCGGTTGGTTCAAGTGGAAATGATGTGTCCCTTTGACTCTAATCATTTCAAATCGTTCATTGTGCTTGCGGAACAGCTCAACCCCTTCATTTATGTTTGCCTCTGATTCGGCAAAGATGCGATCTTCACCTCTGATAAACAAATAGGGTGCTGTTATACGTTTTATATATTCGAAACTGACCGCTTGATTTGTGTACATGTGTCGCATGAATTTCGCACGAATGTCTCGGGTGAAGTAAAATTTATTTGGATTGGTTGCTGAGGCTTTGGCACCACGTTCGATCAAATACTTGGCTTTGTCCAAATCGACTGATTTGTTCGATCCATCATGAACTCGTTGAACCAAAGCATCGTACGTATATTCTGGTGGATTTCGTACCAAATCTTCATTGAGACTAATCAGTTTTTTAGTTTGATGCGAGTAGATTTTCTCGGTAATTTTTGGTTCAAGATCTTGAAATTTTAGCGTATCCAAAGCGCATACTAAATTCACATTGTTCGGATATAGTGAAGCGTACACAAACGAAAGAATGGATCCCATCGAATGGGCAACCAGAGATAATCGCTCCCATTTGTAGACTTTACGAATGTGCTCTAACAACGGGACAAAATCGATGCCGTGGTAGTAACATCCTTTTGGCAAATGTGATGATCGTCCATGTCCCGGTAAATCAAACGCCAAGTAAGAGAGATCCGATGGTAACAGTGGAATGAGTGTATCGAATGAACCAACGTTGTCCTGCCAGCCATGTAACATCAAAACTGGTTGCACATTCTCTGATCCATACCATTTGCCAGCTATGTGACCCCATGGCACTTCAATATGCACCTCTTTTGACTGAAAGAAAATTTACATATTGTTTATTACACTGTTGACAATTTTTGAATTAAAATTTGAAACGTCCAGAATTCAATGACGATTTTCATTTGAAATTCACACAAATTCTGCTTACCGGAACAACTTTTGATTCAACACTTTGCAATTTACTGGCCGATGTGTTTATTAGACGCGGTCCAATTGAATTCGCCGAGAAAAGTATTCGCAGATTTTTTAATGTAAACATTTTTTTGGTAAAATTCGTTGGAATATGTCAATGCAAACTAAATAATACTATCAACAATTTTTCTACGGTGCAATTTTGGGGAATAAGGAAATAAGGAACTAAAAACACAATTTTCTACGGTGATTGCATCAGCCGCGTGATTTTTTTTCTGCTCGCATCTGCACATGAATGTCACTTTGTGAGCTGTCATCGACTGACACGAAATGTCTATTTCAATGGGAATGTCTAAATCGTTCCAATGTCAAAACTAGATTCGGAACGATTCAATGCAGTATTCGTTGAATACAAATATATATTCTAATGTGAAAAAAAAGTCAAAACGTTTAGATGTTTGTGTGTTTACCTTTTTTCTTACCGTTTGGTTTTTATTTCCATTCAAAAAGTCCATAGCAAATGTTTGATAAAAAACACTGATGAAAAATATTATCATTGATAAATTATCAATGTCTTGAGAGTATTTTTTTTAGAATTTATTAAATTGACATCAATAAAAAATAATTAGTATAATTTTTGTTGTTGGTTGGCCGAAATAAAATAAATCACCTAGTTATAAATTTTGGAAAAAAAATCTAAAATGAAAATTTGATCCCAAAAAATCGTATTAAATTTATTCAATAACAAATTTGACTGTAATTTTGTCGAATACAATATTTTAAATTATTCTCTATTTTTAGCTCGAAATTTTTAGAGAATCTCAATTTTTTACATGCGAAATGATTTACATTTCAAATTATGCCATAAATAATTATAATTATCAATATTTAGCCTCAATTCTTTATTAGCCATTTGAATAAATTCATTTGTATAAAATAGAAAAATATTAAGCATTTGTCTCTAATTGAATAAAATAAAAATTCATAGAATGGACACAATGTTCAAACTGTGACCTTCACAGCAATTTTAAAAGACGCATATCTTGTTATTATAACTATTAAATCGATAAATTAAAGGGAATCAACAACTATTTGAGCTCAATTAGTTTCATAATACATTATTTGTGTTTTAGAAGCTTCTATGCCAATTTTAAGTATATATTTTTTTGGCACTTATTAACATATTGTGGTTGGTGATAAATTTTAACGAAGAAAAAGTTGAATATATGCCTATATACAAACTAAATCTCACCTATCAGGAGATGTGTGAAATTTCTTTGTCTGACTGACCGACTGCTTGAATCGATTGGATGTGATTCAATTCACAGATAATTACAAAATTTAAAATTTCGTTTGAAAAATATTCGGCTTTAGTCACCACACAATCAGTCGCTTAATTTTGAACATTTTGACTGAAGAGTAACTATCAGACGACAATGACTAAAGCCAACTACAGTCGACTTTTTTGTTCAAGAAAACCGTTTTTAATAGACGGTCAAAATGTCCAAGATAGACAGGCTATTTAGTAGAAAAATTCACACGAAAAAATGTGTACAAAAATATACATTTTCTAGTAGGTATTGCTTTCTAAGCTATTTACTGAGTTGATTATCATCACATAAATAAACAATCATTGACTGTGATATTTCTTAAGAAATTCGCTTAAATTCCCTGCAATCAATTCCGGTTCATTCAGATGTAAATGATGTGTCCCATGGACTTTAACCATTTCAAATTGTGGATTGTGTTTTCTAAAAACTTCAACTCCTTCGTTGGTATTTTCCTCGGGTTCGGCAAAGTGACGATCATCACCTCTGACAAACAAGAACGGACTTTGCACTTGCTTTACGAATTCCAAACCGACGCTTTGCGAACAAAATAGCTTTTGCATGAATTTTACACGAATATCTCTGGTAAAATAGAATTTGTTGGGATCATTTTCTGATAGTTTTGTGCCACGTTCAATCAAATATTCCACTTTATCCAAATCGATCGATTTGTATGACCCCTCATGAATTTTCTGAACCAATTTATCGTAAGTGTACACCGGTGGTGTTCGTGTAAAATCCTCATTAATTGCGCTTTGTTTTAAATTGCGCCATGAAAATGTTTGTTGTGTTGTCGTCGCATTGAAGGTTTGTATTTTCAGACTATCCAAAGCACACACTAGATTTGTGTTTGCTGAAAAGACGGAGGCGTAAATAAATGAAATAATTGCCCCCATTGAATGAGCTATTAATGATATTTGGTCCCATTTGTAGTGTTTTCGAATCTTATCCACAAGCTGAACATAGTCAACGACATGATAGTAACATCCTTTTGGGAGATGTGATGATCGTCCATGTCCCGGTAAATCAATCGCCAAGTAAGAGAGATCCGATGGTAAAAGTGGAATGAGTGTATCGAATACACCAGCGTTATCCTGCCAACCATGTATCATCACTATTGGCCGTATATTCTCCGATCCATACCATTTGCCAGCGACATGACCCCACGGCACATCGATCTCCACCTCTTTTGACTGGAAGAAAAAAAAAGATCGTGTTAGTTTTTGCACCAAAAATAATTGAACTAATTTGTTTTTAGCCCAAGATAAGGTATATTAGAATTTCATGAATGACCTCATCCGAGTTGAATTCTCCAAAGATTTCTACTCACAGAAACGACTTTTGATTGAACATTCTGCAATTTACAAGCCGATGCGGATATCAAACGTGGTGCAATCGAGTTCACTGGGAAAAATATTCGGAGATTCTTCAATGCAAACATTTTTTGATAGATAATTTCAATTCACGTGCTCAATGTAAATGCTCCCTGCGGCTATAGTAGAATGCTAACTAAATAGCACTATAAATTTTTTGGTATTGCACGATTTAAGGCCGATTTAAATGAAAATCATAATTTTTTTTACTGTGATTGCGTTAGTCGCATGATATTTTGCTAATATTTGTTCATGCACTTGACTTTCACTTTGTGTGCTATCATTGGACGACAGCAAATGTCTAATTCAACGGGAATGACAAACTCTTTCCAATGTCTATTGTCTAATGGGAAGTTTGAAATTGAGCGACAGTCACTTCAATCATTAGTCAATATTATGAACCATTTCATCAATTCAAAAGTATTAAAATTTATTTCATATGATTTTTATAATTTTATTTTGGGAAAAAAAACTATCAAAAACTTGCTACTTGAACAAAAAACCACATTGCAAAGATTTAAAAAAAATGCACTTCAAGTATTGAGTTCGTGTGTCAACGTCTCTAGTCAAACATCTGATATTTGTTTACACTTTATCGAGAGCTGGCGATAAGAAATAAAATTGTGATATTAAATAAAATGGAATTGTGTGGAAAAAAATTGTTATTAATTATTATAGCATTTAGAGAAAATGTCACTTTATTTGTCCTTAAATAATTTCATCCAAATTTCGATTGTGACAAAATTATTTAAATTAATTCACTTTGAACTTCCAATGTTCAAATCATTTATAATAACCACTTAATTTGACGGATTAATCGCAAAAATAAAAATAAACTCAAATATGACTCAAAATGAATAGCTTTTTATGTAGAATACGACGTTTGTCACTCGTCCACTCGAAAACCGATCAAGTCAGAAGGAATAAATTGCCATTAAATCCCATTGAATCTGAAATATCATTGTATCAACATCGTCAAACTTGTTACTGATTCGTTGTCTAGAAATACATCATCCTCAAGGATTGATAAGAATTCTGGATCCGATGCTTGTCCTAAATCCTGAACAAATTCATCCCAATCTGCTTCTGATTTAGTTTTTGGTTCTACTTCTGGTGTTAGCTCCGGTTGATGAGTAGATATAAAAGTTGCATATGAATTGGTGGCGCGTGAGCAACATCTTCGTTTCATTAGATTTAGGCCCGTCAAGAAAATAATCAGTGCAACTGCCAAGCCAATCGGTAAAAATGATATAAATGTTGAAAGTTTTTGCTCCACTGATCTCAAGTCATATTTAATGTTTTCTTCCGATGTACCATTTTCGGTTTCTCTCTGAAACAAAAAGAAGTCAAATCATTTCTTAGTATTGTGTGCCTTATAACAAAGCGCAAATTGGAACTAAAACGATTTAAAGGAGAATTGTTCTCTGAAAAAACAAAACAAAAATGTTAAACCTCTGAGAAGCATATTGAAAACAATGACAATTGGATGAATTCTTTTTTACAATAAATTATGGACAGATGAAAGAATTGAATTACTTAAAATTGATACAAAACGCAATTTATTTTGCAAAATTTAATAAAAACTCACAATTTCATTTTCTCGTGTGGAATTTGAAATAGATTTTGTTTGGCATCCCATTATTACCAGTGAAAAGACACCAATCACAATGAAAAATCGAAGGAGACCTGACAAATTCTGCTGCTGCTGCTGCATCGACATGCTTCTCTATAACTTACCACCGCTCTAGCATTGAAACTGGATCAACTTTTCCCAAAAAAAGAGCCAATGTATATGGGTTTGCGTCATTGAAAACTCACAACATGAATCTCACGTCATCATTTTTCATTCAAATACAAAATGAATCGTAGATAAAAAGGGGGTTGTGTTGATATTACATCTGTTCTGTTATGCTAATTATTTCTCAATAACCAATGCTTATACATCGTTTTCGAATTAAACTCTTTTAAAAAAAATTATGACTCAGATGAAATACTTATATTTATTTTGATAAACAAGTGCACAGAGTGACGTTTTTCATTTTAACGTAAAAATTCATTTTTAGTCTTAGTATTTTCTTCATCATACATTTGTATATGTTTATTTTATGAATCTGTAACAAAAGATATGTCGATTTTATTTATTTTTTTCTTTAAGCGGTTTTTTTTCTTGTTCCTTTTGTTGCATGTTTCTATGTTTTGTTTTAGCTTAAAGTTTCTGTTTTCAATACGACTGAATGGAAATTGTGAATCCTACCTATTACTTTTTATTAATATCATTAGCTGAATTCAGAATTCTCAGCACTACTTTCGATACTGTTAATTTCTCTTAATTAAAAAAAATCGTGTCAAAAAAACGGGTGTGTCATTTCGAGTCTTTGAGATAGAGACGTCCTTTGCAGTGATAGATGCGATTGTGGCTGAGAAATCGATGAAACTCGGTGTCACTGATGCAAACATTACGAAATCCAGTTGGTTTTTTCAGCTGTTTGCCACAGTCGTCACACAAAGTTTTCTGTTGGTGTTGAATAATTTGAAAGACATCATTCGGTGGGGTTTCATCGTACATCGTATGCGGACACCAATTGGCTGTCAAGTAGTCATTGTTCAATTGGCTTTGAACGGGCATGATCTGCCAAATCACATTTGACGGCACATTTTCATCGTTTCGTCCGTTGTATATTTCGGGATGGCAATCATTAATGTGTTTGTCGAAATCCAGTTCCAATTCATCGACATTGCAAATTAAACACTGGATTCGTTCGTCGATTTCGCACAATTCGTACATGGTCATGGTGAATGGTACATCAGAGTGATTCTTTGCATGGTGTTTGTTGATCTTTTGTTCCGGTTTCTCTTTCCCACACGCACCACAAATGTACCGTCGTTGTTGAATTCGAGTGAAAATTGTACCTTCATTTGCTGGATTTTGCATAATTCCACTTCTCATTGCCACCGGCTCTAACGTATCGTTTTGTGTTGCGGTTTGATTGTCAACTCCATTGTCGTCTTCGGAATATTGGTCTGACATTGCTCTCGGGTTTTAACACGGTTCTATTTTAAACGAGGAAATTTATTTTTATACCGTCAGTCAATTTCAATGAGAATAAAAAAATGTTCCAACCAATTTGTTTACATAGAAAAACGTGGATGTATGCAGAGTTTTGTTGCTATTGAATCAATAGCAGTAATATTCAATAGTGTTGACTTTCTCCGATGAGTGTTTTGCGACCAATGAACCGGCATTTTTGACATTTCACACATACACAATGAGATGCTGGGTTCAACAGTTGACAAGTGCAATCATACACATTCAAGCCATTGTAAGGTTTTTCGAAATGACGTTTAAACGGTGACAATTGTCAAGTTTCAGACGAAACATCACTAATGTATATAAAAATCATTCGCATACAAATTGATACGGTGTATTCTCGGTTGTGTTACGTCTACATTAAGGCTGCTAACTCTACTGATTTTTTCAGTAGACTAATAAAATTCGTAAAAAAAATTCGTGTGTCGGAAGCAAATTCTTGTTTACACATATGGAAAGAGGAAGACCCAAGGAAGTTTTCTATCTGATCAGATTTCCCGGAAAAGTCACTGGAGCCAAAATATGGCCTCATATATAAATTTAGGGTCATTTTCAGTACATTTTATTTTTACAAAATTTTCCATATTTCCCCAGTTTTCCAAGATTTTCCAACCATTTTCATTTTATGAATGTACGATCGTATGCTGAAAACGAATTCAAGAAAATTTCCCGGAAAATTGCAAATCCTGGAAAATTTTCCCAAAATGAACTTATCGCTATAAAAGGAAAATGGAAAATCGGGGAAAATTATGAGAAGTCCCATTCGATCGGGCGGCCCAAATCCAGCCGTTTCCGAGATATTGCGAAAAAACTGGCTTTGGTACTGAATTTTTCAGTATACTGGTAGAAAATAGTTGGCAGCCTTAGTCTACATTAGGAATGAGTCAGAGCTTAAAATAAGGGTTTTCTTTGATTCACATTTTCTGAAATCGAAGGGGGGGAGGGGGGGTAATTCAAAATCCACAGTGGCATAAAAATCAAGAAAGAAAGTTAACGATTTAAAAAAATCCTTGATATGTGTGCAATTCCGTTTATTTATTGTTGTTCCAAACAGTTCCGAATTTGGGTTGAAAATTGGGTAATTATTATCAAATATATTTTGTATTAATGAGATCATATCAAGTAAATGAGCGGCAAAATTCAAATAAACCGGTTGAAACTGCAATATCCATCACATCAAATATATTTGACGTTCGAATGTCGCGAATTTTTTAAAAAAGAGATATCAAATTAATATTTTATCGGTGAATTCTTAATTCACCGTTTGGCATATTTTGATTCACCATTTTGGACTTGATTCACTCTTATTTTAAGCCCTGGTTTGACCAGACCTTGAATATTCTAAATGAAATACTGATCAAAAGTGAATACGTACGAGAGATGCGTGTGAGTGCGTGAATGAATGGATGATAGTGATTTCTAAAATAATTTTGTTTTCATGACTCCCAATGAATAACAGATACAAAAACACATGTGCTTCGAGAGACCGATCATGTGCTATATTCGTTGATTTTGATAGACTTATCTCTGGGCAGAAAAAAAAATGGCGAAAGATATATTTTGACTTGAATTGATCGTAATATCGATAAAAAACGATACCCAGAGATCAGTGAGTGGGTGTGAGCAATTTCTCAAATCACATTATTTTCATCACCAACCGTAAATAAAATGTCTAAAAACAAATTCAATACGTAGCTCGGTAACAGATATCTATAATACAAGTATCACCCATATTTCAAGATTTGAACCCGTGAGCATAAAAACAACGTATTGACTCTTCGCCGATGAATACGAAACGCAAAAAAATCGCCGAACAAAGTGAAACACCAATCTGTTATTGGATCAATATGAAACATGAAATCGTTGGCCACTATTTTATTTACGTTGCGCTTTGTTTCGAAGCGCGGCAAGTGTTTCATTTTGTT